TTATGCTTTATTCAGCTGTTGTTTACGGGGATTTCATTTTGATTTTAAATGTCCAAATCTGCCTCAGCATCTGACATGTTATCGTCTGCTAACGGCTACTTGCTATTGGACCGACTGCTGAGGGAAACGTCTCTTTAGTCCAGGGGTCTCAAACTCATTTCAGTTTCGGGCCAGTTACAGTCGACGGGGGGAGGCGGGGGATGGGGTGGTACGCCAAAGTCGGCCGTAACCCCCCCCTCCGCTTATCTTTTTAATAGACAGCGCGGTTAAAGTCTGTTTGGGAACTAGTAACTAAACTAAACATTCACATGGTCACTGGACAAAGGAGGCGAGTCTTTGACTAAAGATTAAAACCAGCACCAGGACCCGGAGGAACCAGCAGCGTTCTGGAGGCCGTCGTGGTCATCGAGCTCATCACCGTACCGGCGGTAAAGTGGAAAGAATGTCTCTGTCGGAGCGCCCAGTGAGGTCACGCTGGCTTTTAAAGGGCGCTGACTCGCCGCTGGAAGCCGGTGGGCGGGGGGGTTGTCCATTGTCTGCTCACATCCGGACAGAACATGCTGCCATCCCTGGGGGGGTCCACAAGGGGGTCCTCCCAGGGGTGCTGTTAAAACCAAAAAGGATGGATATCAGTATCTCTCCGGCGTCCTGCTGTTTAACCAAAAAGAAAGGATGTCGTCGCTACAAACGGAACAGAACCGATAAAGTGTTGCTGTTCATGGTGTCGGACACAATCAGTGATGTCTGGACTATCTCATGTGTATTTTTAATCGGATGATGAGTCTCTCAGAAATGTCAAATGAATTGTCGTCACAGGACTAAGAAAGCACCCAGAATGCCGAGAGCCCCTCCCCTCGGCTCACGGTTATTTCTTTGGGGGGGTGTTAGTCGTGACGGACTCGACCTGGCACGCCGCTGGCCCCCGCAGGCGCTCGCCCGGGAAGGATTACCTCGCCACGCCCGGAAAAGATGTGTGAAATTGTAACGGCACGGAATAAAATGACTAGTGTGTGTGTTCCAGCGTTCACGGCCGATAGCAGGTGCTCCGGGGGGCCCGATCAGCCCGACACACCGTGCTGGGCGCTTTAATTGATTAGAGCAAGTTTTTATGACAGCGGGGCCTCAAGCACGCAGACACCAATCAGATGAAACGAAGCGTTCCTCATTTTGAATGAACTTCTATTTAAGCGTCTTTCTGTTTAAATGAATGTTTCAGTCACAGTCTGTCAGTGAGGTGTTAACACAACAGATCGAGCTGCTTCAAAGGGTCGGGGGGAACAGATGGGGGGGGGCAGATGTTAATAAAGAGGGAACGATGGAGTCAAGTGTTCTGTTCGTACCACATCCACCGCCATCAACAGGAAGTCAGCGGTAAAAGTAGAAAGGCATGGTTTGATTGGCCGATAAGTTGAAAATGTTTAAAGTTTAGCCTCCGTTTTTCTCACATTCATCAATAAATCAGCTGTTTTGTATTTGAGATTAATCATGTGACGATTCAGAAGATTCAGTCACGCAGAAAGACGATTGAGTGACAAGCCAGAATTTCTGGCATGCTTCACCTGTCCACTCGTCGTAGAGCTGAAAAAATTGACATTCAAGATCTTTGGTTGTTGATGAAGATGTGCTAATATCACAGGGGGGGAGCTAAAGTTTTTCAGGACGTTGTCAAGAAGTCGGCCGCCGTGGCAATGATGGCTCCATTAGGAGAGGGCAGAGGGCCTGCAAGAAGGAGGGGTCAAAGGTCAGAGAACAGAACACCTGCAGGGTAAAGCCTACAGTCTGTCGCTTTGTCTCCAATGGTAACTGACTTATGATCAATTCTACATGTCCCGGTGGCTGCTGGGAGATGTAGTTCTCTGCCCCCACGGTCTTGTCAGACCCTCCAGCTGGGATGACGCGCTGCTGCACGGCGTCACTCACGATACTATTACAGCACCCTCCAGGGAGCCTCTGAGCTCTGCCCCCTGGATGTGACCCGTTTCTGCATGTGTCACATTTACTAGAATAAAATGGAATATTTTGGCCACGTGCATGTGTAGTTTATCCCCCAAAAAATAATTTTGTTTTTTAAAGCACCAAAAGGAGTGATGGGTCAAATCAAATATGACAATATTCTTAATCAAATACCTGGTTTTTGATATATATCGTAGGGTTGACATTGCAAAATATTCACATCATGAGACTCTTCATTGATAATCAGTAGTGTTGATGTTGGTCACTGTTCAGTCCAGAAATGGTCACTTCCTGCTGCAAAAACACCACGACGATGACGTCCAGAACCCCCGAACTTGAGGCTTTTTTTTGTTTTTTATTTATTTTTAAACAGTTTGTAGCATTTTTTGTTTTTTTACTCCTATGCAGATAGTTATTAACAAATCCAACTTTTTTTAAAGGTATGGACCTAAAAGCCCGGCAGCACTGTTCTTTGTGTTTGCAGATGTTTCATGTGTGTTTGCCAAGGGACGACCAAACCACCCCCCCTCTCTCATTATCCCATGCAGATGTTCAGCGCCGGGCCCTCAGCGGTGTCGGGTGACCACAAATCTAATTGATATCAAAACTGTGGCGGGCGGGTGGGCAGAGGGGGGGCCAAAGCCCCCTGTGCGCTCTCGGGTTACAGCCCGACTTCTGACAGCCACTTTCTCCTGAAACATGCACTGTCTTTACTTCAAAGGACCAGAAAAAACAAACAGCAGCAATCAGACGCGTCAATGGACCCGGTCCGACCTGCCTGAGACCGGACCCGGTCCATCGAGGCGCAAAGTCCATGTCCATTTGTTTTTGGGGCGTTGATAAGCCACGCAGCTGAGAGGAGGGGATTGGACAGCTTAAGGAGAGGATGTGACTTTAAACCCACTTAATCCGGCCCATCTGGGCCCGCCGATTGTTTGATATATTTACGGTTGATGATCATCACTAATAGGTTTGTTATTTTCTTATGGGATGCTTATGAATGGAGGATGGAGGTGGGGGGGGCCTGGGAAGAGGCTGCCAATTTGTTTGGTTTTCATTTTGTTTTTGGGTTCGGTTTCAGACGGGGGGGTCCGGGAGGGGTTTCTGTTATGCCGTCTGAAGTCCGTCTGAAGTGGATTCTCACAGGTTGAGTGGAAGCAGATGGTTCTGTGTTTGGTGCTAATTTGTCTTGAAGAGTCTACGAGATTCGTGTCGGTCACGTTGCAAAGCTACTGGACCCAAAACGTTCTGACAGTCCTGAATCATTCAGCGGGTCCTGAAAATATAACAGTAACTTTCTATCTAACTTTCTGATAATTGTGATAAGGCTTTAGGGTTTAAAGCTTATAATTTAGCATATTTTATAAATATAAAGCTGTAGTGATGTGTGTTGTTATTATTTTATATTATTTTTCATGAATAAATTAAAATTAGTTCTGCAGCAACTGACCAACTGCTTTGTGTTGTTTTTCTTTTATGTCGTCCTTTGTTGACTTGTTGACAAGAGAAGCGTCCATGTGGACACGTTGCTTCTCTCTCTCCTGTTTCCTGTCAACACCACAGCCGAACCACACAGGATACATGAGCAGCTCGGACTTCCTGTGCGGTTCTAAGGTTGCTGTTCATCCGATGCCAGAATGTTCTTGAACGCACCTCCAGAAATAGTGCTGCATTAAAGTCTGCGAGAGACGAATGCAGAGAACCGAAGGGAATTCCTTCATGTTTAGACAATATATTCACGTTTTAGCATATTTATCCATAATTCCTTAAATGCAAACCTTCTTTAATCGTTACTTTATTATACATAACATCTGTGAAAAAGGCCTTTGTTTTGGTGAATTCAAGGACAAATTGACATCTATTTTCTGACCATTTTTGATGGAAGAAAGAACTAAATTATTGTGATTAACACATGATTTATCATTTTTCACATGTCACTGATACAGTGCTTTTAAAGAGGCCCCAGGAGTCTCTGTTCTTGAACGCGCCATCTAAAAGAAGATCTGCCTCACATCAAACAAATTAAGAGAAATGAACTTGACTAAATTCAATCTATATTTAAGATGGAAAACTTTGTACAATTCAACTGAAAAGCTTAACGCTCACTGGTGCAAGTGGGACTTCGGGAATATTCTAGGATGTTCCCACTGGGTTGTGTTTCATCTCTCTGGTTTCCCTAGTTACTGACCTTTGGCCTACTTGTGTGATGGATGACTTTATGACGCTATTTCAGTCCGAAGCGTCACGGAGGGCCCGGCTGCCCGGGTATGAGGCCTTTCTTTGGCTATGTCTGCGCAGGAAGAGGTGCGTCAGGATGAGCTTGATGATCAGCTGCATCATCCGAAAAGTACCTTTTGTTCCCCGGGTCTTATTTCTCTCATTAACACAAGCAAGTGACCCTCCTTCATGCTACGTGTTTATGTGAAGCCAAAATAGAGTGCTGACGTAGCTTTGTAGGCTAACAGTTAGCATCGTACTGGCAGAGAGAACCCCTTCAGGAGGAGGACCTCGTCCCGGCTGTTGGACCCGCTGGTCCTGGCTCTGGTGCAGCATGTCCCCGGGGTCGGCCGGGTCAAAGCTCTGGCCCTCCTGGAGCGGTTCTCCAGCATCCAGCAGCTCTGCAACGCCGCCCCCGCCCAGCTAGAGCCCATCGTGGGTCAGGCTGCGGCTCAGCAGATCCACGGCTTCTTCCACAAAGACACTGCTGCTGGAACCTGATGGTCCAACTCCGGGTCCTTATTCCACCGGGGGCGTTTGGGGGAAATGACGTGGATGCACCTCGGCACTCAAACAAGTCCAAGTTTGGTTTGTTTCTGCAGGTGTTTGAACTACAAGAAGCTAAATGTGTCTGTTGACTGCAGGAAGCCCATGAGCCCGATTACAACACAGACGTGGTCTCAGAGATGACAGAGCCACGTAGTCTGGAAATAAGAAGTGGAGTTTTGACTTTTTAAGTCTAAAGTTTGGTATTTTAGTCAGAAGTCGGCATCTTTAATTCTGTTTTTACTTAACAAATAGGTAACAGTGATCACAGGAGGAGGCGCGTAGAGGATTCACTGTTCATTTATTCAGACCACAGAGGTTGTTTTGTTGCCATATAAACATGTTTATTTCTGCTGTAACGTTGTTCATTTTAACATGGAGGTCAATGGGAATTGAGCAGATCAGATTTAGGAATAATACAACATGTTTAAGCCTGGGCTTTAAAGAGTTAATAGCAAATTTGTGTTAGCTAATTGTTTTATTATCTTTATCTTAATGTTGCAGCTGAGATCAAGTCCTATCAATGCAAACACTGAACATCAAGATATTAAAGTCCTCTCTGCTGCTGCTGTTGTGTTGTAACAAATAGCAAATGTGACGCATCAGCGAAAAACAGAGAAAAAAAAGTTAATCATCATAATCATAAAAACACCAATGTAAACACTGAGCAATACATATTCACTTATTTCAAGAAATGATTGAGAATCTTTCTGTGAGAAATTAAAAGGTTCCTCTCTGTGATTCACAGGACAGATGATCAACAAACAGGAAATTAACTCAAGGCCCGTTTCCCTTTATGACATAATCATTGATTAACAATTATAAAGCATCCAGTTCACGAAAAGATCATCAGTTGTCTGACAGCTTCCATCTCTGTTTATAAACAGCAACGTTCAATTTATCTCCTGGACTTTATCAAAGGTTTTGTCTTTTCACTCCATTTCTGTGGAGCTTTAGAAGGTCTGAAGGACGTTATTGTCCCGTCAAAGTTGACATGTGATAGAAAAGAGAAAAGGGTTTTTCAGCTGTGACGTCAAAAAATTATTAAAATGTTAAGTTAACACCTTTTGTTCTACTCAGTGTGATTGACAGCAGAGATGATCAGAGGAGCAGAGTTTGTACCATTATTATTAAGAGATGGACTAAAGAATGGGTAGAGTTTCTCAGTGAAGCAGCAGCCAGTAAAGGAGTAGATCAGAGCTGCAGCACCAACGTCATAAAAGGAGACCAGACCCTCCTCATAATCCACAAACACCCCCACCTTCTCAGGCCGGGACTCCAGAGAGAGACGGACTGATGGGTCAGCACAAGCAGAGTAATTATTCCGATTCCTCAACCATATCGCCCAGTAACCATTCTGAGGAGACGCTGAGATGTTTCCCTTCCTGTTGATGGACTCTCTCACCACTCCTAAATCCCACTCGGTCTTCCCTTTAACCTGAACCTCGTAGTAAAATCTACCTGAAGAGAAACTCTGCTTTCCTAAAACAATAACACACTGATTAAATCTCTCTGGATTGTCTGGGAGATTCTTCTTTACATCTCCATCTTTAACTTGTTTTCCATCATCAGACAGGATGAGGTGAGGATGTGCTGTATCAGGATCAAGTGTCACATCCACTGCAGACTGCTGGACTCTCTTCAGCTCCAGCAGCTTCATCTGTTTACTGAGCTTCTTCTCCAGCTGGTGCACAGCTCTCACCACAGTCCCCTCATATGAAGGTGCACTGACTCTGACTCCTGTCCAGTCCTTGGTGGGTGGAGCAGTGTTCAGGGTCCTGAAGCTCTGGAGGAGGTGGAGGTGGTCTTCAGAGCGTGAGAGCTGCTCCACCTCAGTGCTTCTCTTCTTCAGCTCAGAGATCTCCTGTTCCAGCTCTTTGATGAAGCCTTCAGCCTGTTTCTGTGTCTTTCTCTGCTTCTCTTTGATGGTGTCGATGAGCTCCGCCTGGCTTCTCTCAACAGACTCCTTCAGAGCGCTGAAGACCAGGACACCTTCTGCTACCTCTCTGTCTGCTGCTTCCTCACTGAGCTCCACTGAGTGTTTGATCTCCTGAATCTTCAGCCGTCTCTTCTGGATCATCTGCTGGACTTCAGCCTCAGTCTTCCCCAGCTCGGCCTTCTTTCCTTCATATTCTTCTCTCAGAGGAACAACATCATGGTTCTTGTGGTCTAAAACAGTGCAGAGCATGCAGACACACATCTGGTCGGTCTTACAGAACAGCTCCAGCAGTTTATCGTGCTTCGTACACATCCTGCCTTCCAGGTTCTCCACAGGGTCCATCAGCTGATGTCTCTTCAGACCTGACGTAGTCAGATGAGGCTCCAGGTGAGCCTCACAGTAGGAGACCAGACACACCAGGCAGGACTTGAGGGCCTTCACTTTGGTTCCAGTGCAGACGTCACAGGGAACTTCTCCTGGTTGGGCAGCTTGTTGCTCTGAGCTGCTGCTGCTGGCTTTCTGCTGAGCTGACAGTCTGAACTGAGCAGCCATCTCAGAGATGAACGTGTTGACCTGCAGCTCAGGTCTGGTGTAGAAAAGCTTTTTACAGTTGGGACAGTTAGACGGGGCATTAACGTTCCAGTGGTCAGTGATGCAGGCTTTACAGAAGTTGTGTCCACATGGTATGGCGACTGGATGAGTGAACACGTCCAGACAGATGGAGCACAGGAACTGATCTTCAGTCAGCAGACAGCTGGCAGCAGACATATCGACACTCTGAGGACAACAAGTGAGACACAAATAAAACGTTTACTCCTTTAATAACCAACAATAAAACCTTCAAGAAGCTCAAAGTGAAAGTGCATTAAATGAAGTGGAGAGAAGAAGAAAAGGCATCATCAGCATGATGTGCTTCAAGTAACTGTAAGTCAGTTCAAGGTGGAGATTCAATTCTAAACTGATGTTGGATTAGTTTTAATCGAAAATAATGCATCATTAAAGAAGTGTTTATTATGTTTTGAGTAAATCTGGATCTGCAATAAGTAACATGTTTAGTTGAACAAACAGTATCAACTAGGAACATGAATCTACTATTGATGGACCAATGTGGTGTCTTCAGCATCGCAGTGATAACATCCAAACTCATCTGGTTATTGTTTGGATCATAATCTAAACAGAAATAATGTTAAACCCCAAAACACAAAGTGACGCCTCCATTTCTGTCACATTGCACATTAAATATTTCAATAATTCTGCTACTCTGCGTCTTACATCCTTGTGAGAGGAAAATACATTTTCAAAGTAGGCTAAACTTCTTAAAATCAAAGACCTGGTCTTCATCTTTGAGGAAGAGTCTGAGCATGGAGGCAACTCAGCCAAAGAGGAGGAAGAGGAGGTGCAGAGAGATGATGATAGAAACAGATGCACTCCGTCTGCAGAAGAACCGATGGAAGCTACTTCTTAGTGGGTCTCACTTATGAACCGCTGCATGAGGACGGCCCTGAAAGAGGCGCTAAAGACAAACTAGCAGGATGAGCTCACCTGAGGATGAAAGGTGACGTAATGAATCCTTTCTCTTCACATGTTACTCTCCATCACAGCCTTCAGAGCAGCAGTATTATTGGTGCCTGTGCTGATGAGTCTCAGGTAGCGTGCTTGGTATTTACCGGTACTGGTTGAATGTGGGTGTGTACAGAAGCAAAGAGGAGGCTCATCCGGCTCCACCAGTCCAACTTGTACTTTCTGTTTCCGTCTTTAGTTCTCACAAACACTTTTTGTTTTACGGAGCCTACGCCCTTTATGAATGAGATGTTTTAGCACATTATGCATTTATCATCACATCGTTTCTCAGCTAAACATCGGTCGAGTGGAATTTCTGTCCGAGTAGTTCTGAGGTTTCATGTTAATCCCTGATGTTTGACCACAGTCGATATTTTTGAGGTTCAAAGGATGATGTAACAGCTTGTATAATGTCAGATTGAAGCCGTAATAGGGGATTCAAGTCATAAGATAAAATCAGATAATATATGTTTAACTTTTAGTAAGCTTTTAGCGGGCCCTGTTGGTCTCTGATACTTATTTCTTATTATTTAGTGTGTTTATTTAAGTGTTTATTTCTCTTTAAAAGCACATTTTAATTACATCAAGTCTTTGTAGAGCAGCGTACTCACCAGAGTTTGTCAGAGATCCTGTTGTGTTGTTGATGAAAAGCTTCTGGATTCAGTTGTTTCTTTAGAGAGAAACAGAGAGACTCGTCTGGACTGCAGCTCTGCGTCGCTCACACCAACTTTACTTTACCTTCTACTGTCTCCTCCTCTCTGCGATCTTACGACATCAAACATGAGGTTTTACTTTCATTATCCTTTTTTTAGTTGTAAATGTTTTTAATTGTATTAAATAATAAACACAGTATGTTTTACGTCTTTTAGCTGTTTATATACATCATGTTGAAAAGATATTTTTAGTCTCAAAAAGGTCAGATGACTTTTCTGTCTGGATGTTAGTCCAGGAGGATGAGCGGAGGGCCATTTTCAGGGAAGTTGGACAGGAGAATGTCCAATTCTTCCAAGAAATGAGCCAAGGAGCCTGGCGGACGGTAGAGGACAACGATGGTTAATTGTACCGGGTGAGTAACTGTTACAATATAAGACAGTAGGGTGGAAGATAAAAGACGGTAGAGAGAAAAGCTCCATTTGGGTGAAATAAGTAGACCTGTGCCACCATCCCTACCAGTGTGTCTGGGTGTGTGGCTGAAGAAGAAAGCGGAGGAGAGAGCGGATGGGGTGGATGTGTTCTCAGGTGTGATCCAGGTCTCGGTGAGAGCGATGAAGTCAAGCGACTGCTGGATAGCGAAGCCGGAGGTGAAGTCAGCCTTGTGAGTAGCTGACTGGCAGCCAGGCCTCCTGTGACGAGGTGCTGGACATGAGTGGAGCAGGTGGGATAGGTGAGAGAGGAGAGGTTGCGATAGAGAGCAGATCTATCCCGAGGCCTGTAGTATCTGCGGGAAGAGATTCGAACAGGTGCAGGTAAAGGGGTTAAATACATTATCAAAAATTACAAATGTGTCCTTGATGAAAAGCAGCAGTGGCGATGCACGGGACAATAAAGTCTATGATAAATAAATAAACAAACCAACGACTTCCAGACGTGACTCTCTAGGTCGTCTTCAACAAAAAACGTTACTCCGCCTGTTGTTCTGGCGGTGAATTGCTCTGCAACACACGCAAGACTTTTAGAACCATGAATTAAAACGAGTGCGTCGACGCGACGGCGCGTAAAGACGCAGACGCAGAAGCATGAGCAAGCCTTTAATGATTCAAGTCTGCTTTGCCTCTGAAGAGAAAGCAAAACAGAGTAGGATCAGGTCAAACCTAGAAAAGATAGGAGGGCACGCCAGCAGTCAATTTAATCTAATATAGCAGAATCTACAGCAAGAAGTCCAACAACTAAAGAACGGCAAGAGCTAAACTGGCAATCAAATTAACTTTAAATTAAATTAAACAGCGGAATCAACAACACCTTTAGCAGACTAGCTTGGTTTAAAGAAAAGATACTTTTTTTCCGATTTCAGGTCGTCTGGATGTCTGAAGAGCCAGTAGTCGAGATGCATACAAGGAGTTGTGTTCTTCATTCATTCTCACTCACGTAACATCTGCTCAGTACTGTACCTACTTTGAATGTAAGCTCAGCTATTTTACTGCACGTTGTGTACTTTTACTGCTGATGGAGTACTACGCTGATGGTACGTAGGTCCTCTTACATTTAAGTGTAATAGGAGTCATTTTTACATGTTTGTATGTTGGTACTTTTTAGTTCAAGGAGTTGTGTTGTTTCTGGCGCCTCCTGTGGACCAAAGTGGAAGTGTCTCCTCTTACCAGCGTTCCTCCAGAGAACCTCTCATTTTGCTTCAGCAGCATCGTACTATATTACATTACATTACAGGTCATTTAGCTGACGCTTTTATCCAAAGCGACTTGCATTACACTTTAAACCCATGGCTTTTTCACATTTTGCCTGAGGAGCAATTAGGGGTTAGGTGTCTTGCTCAGGGACACTTCGACTTGAGACATGGGGCAGCCAGGACACCAACCTTGCGGTTCCCGGCCCACCCGCTCTACCCCCTGCGCCACAACGACCCCCACTATATACGGTTTTAATACTGATTGAGAGCCTTTGGTCTTGTCTGTGTGATGCTTCAGAGGCACAAATATAATGCTGAGAAGAGGAAACAGATATTACATCTTACGTTTTACAACATACGTCGTATATTGGTATTCGCTCATCATCATCACCAAAGGAAGAGTTTGAAACTCCTTTGTTTCTGTGATGTCATTTGTTCTATCAGACCTCCACTGATACGAGTAGTCTCGTGCCACATGCCCTCATCAACCCCGACACGCACACACACACACGCACACATGTGTGTGTGTTCATCTTGTGCTTCTGACATTTGTTCCTGGAGCTCAACATGTGCTGGACAATTTCTCGATTCTTCCAGCAGCGGACAGCTGCAGCGTGAATTACAGTAAAGCTGCTGCTTTTAGGGGGAGATTAGGCTGCTGCAGTGTGTGTTCATGTGTCTCCTGGGACACGTTAACCCCGTGCAGCCAGAGGTCTTGCAGGTCCTGGACCAGGTTCTGATCGTTCACTGTTTTAATAACTACAGAAGAAGATCCGCCCGTTGACTTCCATTGAGATTGAATTCAGCGCCCGTGACTCCACGCGTTCCACAGAGTGTGGACTGTAAAGTCACTAAGACCAACAGCGTGTTCTCATAGAGATCATTGATCAGATCATTGATTAGGCCTATGATTCCTGCTACTGGTTACTGAGGCCCACGTGTTCACTCTGCTTCCAGGAAGTTCATCATTCATCTCCACTCATCACTTTTTAAATATTTTGACTCTTATGGCGACGGTGGCGCATGGAGCAGAGAGGGTGCACGGGGAACCCTGCCTGCTGTCCCATGTCAAAGTGTCCCTGAGCAAGACACCCAACCCCTAACTGCTCCCCGGGCGCCCTTACGGCTGCACACTGCTGTGGGATGTGTTCAAATGTAAACCATGGGGTAAAAATAAGTCTTTTTGGTCGGCTAAATGACATGTAATGTCAAAAACAACCTTCATACATCGATCACATCATTTTCTAGAGGAATCTCCACCACACATCTTTTTACTCAGCAATCTGGTCTCTGCCCCCCTTTGTCCTCTTAAACCCCCCCCCCTCACCATCCATTAAAACCCAACCACCACAGAAGAAGAAGACTCCTTTAACGGGCGAATGAAACATCATCCGAGCTCTTTGTTAGCTCTGTTTTTACTGCAGATTTCGTTTGTGGACGCTTCTTCTCTGAAGTGGAAAACCATCTGCGTGTTCGGGGGCGAACACTGCCACGCGCGCCCGCTTCGAGGTCACTGGCTGTTTTTTAACGGGCTGTTTTTTACACACAGGGCGAGTGGCAGCGTGGCGGAGGCCGCTACGAGGACGAGTTAACGGGTGGCCACACAGGCAGCTACCTGATCCTCATCTCCACCTCTTGTGTCTTCAGAGGCTGTAAAGCCTGGGGGGGGGGGGGTCTTGGCGTCTCTGTGATGATGGTTAACATTTAACAGACAAACAACTGCTGCAGTGAGGGAGGGCGCAGCTTATCGGATGACCTTTCCTCTCCAGTCGGGACGAGTACGGAAGCAGGTTTTCATGTTTAAACAGAACGATCCCACAACTCTACTCTTTAAGGACACACTTTTTATTTTTGTTTGTTTGCTTCTACGATTACCCTTGATTGGTTAACAATAAGCAGAATGTAACTTTCCTGCGTGATCTGTGGAGGTTGTGTTCTGAAAAAAGAAAATCCAACCTCTGGGATGTTTGCATGTACAAAGCACAAACCCTTGTGGGTAATTCAGCGGTGGGGGAGTCGCCTACTTTGCGAGAGATTGACAGCTGCTGGATTTCGGCAGCGGCATAAACGGCGACACGTTCCATCTTAAAGGGGGATGAGGGGGGCAGCTGGGTGACACGCAGCTCAGGGGTGAGGGAGGGTGCCGGTGGAGGGGTGAGCAACCCCCCCCTGCTCTCCAGATGCCCCACAATGACAGAAGCCCCCACCGCCGGCCGCAGCAGGACACTCGGCAGTGACGTGAGCTGTCGGTCCTCCCCGAGGCCGGAGCGTGCCAGGCAACAGCTGCAGGGCTTAGCCCCCCCCCCTCCTCCCCCTACACACACACATCACCCATCACCCCCCCAAACCCCGACATAACCCTCCAGCCACGCCAGGCCACGCGGGGCAACGTCCTCCTCAATACGACCATTGTTCATCTAAGCCCTCCATATCAGAGGGATGGAGCCCCCTCCTCCACACACACGCACACACACTACACGCACGTGTGTGTGTTAACATGACGCTGAGGATGATGAACTAGACCTCGGCAGCTGTTGGCGTGTTAAGAGAACGGTCCAAAAACAAAGTAGAAAAAAAGAAGACACTTAAATATTAGACGTTCAGAAGTTTCTTATTAAACCGTTGCCATGGTTACTGGACCCGCCTCTGTTGTTTTGTGTGCTACCGGTCGTTTCAGATCAATAAATTTAACCGTAATCCATCATCTCGATGCAGTACGGCTGCTTCTGACCTGAACCCATGAGCCACGGCGCTGAGAGCTGGATGCTCATTGGTCGTTGATATCAACGATATCGCAAACTAAAACAAATTAATCTTGAGCAGCTGGAATAAGTAAATGTTCCTTTCACGTCTTCTGTCAATTTGTTCTTCACTCCTCTATTTGAGAATTATCCAAGATGATCAGTTCGGGACCGATGGCGTGCGCTCCGATTGGCTGCCGAATCCAGAGTCGGTGGATGTTGTGTAGGACGTTATGTAACTAGTATGGTATGGACACCACCCGACCTCTGACCCCAGCTATGTGTCACACAATTCAGGTGTCAGAGTCATGTGACTGCACTGAGCATGTGCAGAAGGGTTTCTGCCTAGCTCTAGCTAACGACTAGCTATCTAGTTAGCTGACTAGCATTTAACATAAAAACATGGTATTTGAAAAAAAAAAAAACTTTTACGACTCACCCCAACACTGTGAGTGTGTGTGTGTGTGTGTGTGTGTGTGTGTGTGTGTGTGTGTGTGTGTGTGTGTGTGTGTGTGTGTTGAGGTGCTGATGAGGTGGGTTCCAGGTCCAAGGTGTCATGGAGGATCTGGTAACATTGTGGTCTCAGTGTCACAGCTAGGAGTATATCACCACATGGTTTAAGTGCCGCTCACAGACACACACACACACACACACTCTCTCATACACGCACACTCTCACACACACTTTCACACACACACATACTCACACTCAAAATATCCCATTTGTCTGAACTACGTGGTGTTGGTTAGTGATTATGTTTCCTCATGAGTAAATTGTATCATTCATACCAAGGTGTAAAGTAGTGATTGTACTATATACATATATATATTGAACTATAAATCTACTCGGATCACATCAGTGACGTGTTAGTGATGAAAGTGACTTTTATTCTATTTATTGATCTGTTCACGGGCTCAAATATTTGTTAAATAACCGCTTGTGTTCTTACAGTTTTTTTCGATTGCTAAACGACAGCGGGCACAGCTGGAGTCACATGTGCAAAACTCTAACTACGGTCTGCACAGCAGCAGTTCATGTGGACCAAACTTTAGTTTGTTTTTCATTGCTTGAACAGTTTTCAAAACTCTACACACTTATCCCATGACATATCCACAACCTGCACAACACTGTGGATTTACAGCACTTCAAATGCTAAAACACTGCTGTCAAAACTGTGAACCACACATTCAAAACGGAATGTGCCTTTCAAACACTGCTGATTGCAATTTCAGCTGAAAGGCTGAGCAGGTGTCTTGTTTTAGACTATATATATATATATATATATATATATATATATATATATATATATATATATATATATGTAGAGCTCATATATATATCTATATGTAGAGCTCAGAAAGACTCATTTTGGAAATGGAACAAGGAAGACGGCTTGGCGGAGGGAGACAAAGAAGACAAACAGCTGTTATTTCAGATGAAATAAGGGCTTCACTTATAGACCATGTGGTGACTCACGGTCTCTCACTGAGAGAGTTGAGGGTGGAACCCAATCTGCAAACATCCACAGTGGCATCTGGAATGCAAGTTTTCCATCATACAAACAGGTGAGAGGAGTTTTTCTCTGTCTGGAGGTGGAAAGTGTTTGTTCACCACCCACATGACCAAATGTCTCTTTTGGAAGCCGGATGTGAGGACACGAGTCCAGAGGACTGCCAGGGATGGATGAGGCTTCCAGAAGGTCCTTCCCCAGGTTCATGGCAAGAGAGAAAATTAGATGTGATGTTGATGAAAACCTGTGGCCTGATGCTAGAGAGGCGGGATCAGCCCCTCAGTTATTTGTTCACATTACAGTATGTACTTTTAGTTTCTACCTTTTTTTTCTCATTACTGTAATTCCATAAATTACTACAGACTATTGAAGCAAACTTCTAATTTTCATTTACCTTAAAGAATTGTTATGTTCTAAAAATTTTAATAAATCATGTGAAAGAATGTCACTCTTTTTGTTGAAGAAAATCTTACTTTGTATGAAGTCACTGAAATTGTTCAAAGTGTAAAGATGATCAGTTACTATTTTGTGTATTGGTGTTTGATGCTGGTGTTTTTACTCTCAGTGTGTTCTGAGTGACAGTGTGTGTTCTCTCAGTGAGGCTTGTGCACAGTGTTTGCTGCACTGAGCCTGTTTTGAGCAGTGTGTTGAGTTGTGTTGCTTGGAGTGAATTTTGCCGGTGATGTGAACTGTTTAGCTCAGGTGACTGTTGGTAGTGCAGACTGTAGTTAGAGTTTTGCACATGTGACTCCAGTTGTGGCCACCGTCGTTGTAAATGTAAATATTGAATTGGCAGCATGCACTGACTTAGACCTGACTTCCTGTGTGTGTGTCTGTCACTAAAGAAAGGTGCTGAAGTTTGAAATAAGCTCAAGAAGAAACTTTCGGATTTCTGAGTGTCATGGCTAAGCTTTTTTATCACAATATATCTATTTAATCACAATTTATCTATTTATTTTTGTGTGTATGCATTTGTATATACTGTATAGGAATAAGTATGTAACTGATTCAGAATTAATATAACATTTATTATAAATTATAATAGCGTGAAAGGGACAAACATACTTTACATAAATATTTAGTAAAAAAAAAACTTGATCCGGTGGTATTTTTGTTTTTTACTGCAGTAATAATCAGAGTACTAATTACTTGTATTTGTACCTTCTGTCTCTTCTGATTATACTTTTCAACCTTCAGTTTCGTCCTCTCTTGTCCGTGACGTCAACGTATCCTCCGTCTCCGCAGTCGCACGTGACGTTTTTGAGCACCAGAGGGCGCTGTGGTCTCATCACCATCAGTCATAGTTCACCTGCTTTCTGTGTCTAGGGACTTATTTTTCACGGTGAAATACAGTAACAATAAATCAGTCCCGCTCCTCTGTGGAAACACCACAATCATAACTAGTAATATTTTTTATTTATTGTCACATGACAGTTCATGGCTTCATAGTTTTATTGAAGAGTTAAGATTTCAATGTTATTCACAGAATCTGATTAAATGTAAAGACAGCCGAGTAATGCGTCAATGTATGTTTCTGTGGCTTCTTTTGGTCGTATTTAATAAGGGTTGTGATGATCAAACATTTTTGATCAACGTTAGTTATGTTTAGAGGCTTTAGAGGCTAGCATCTCTAACAGAGTGTGTTGTGAAGACGTGATGATCGATCACTAAGCAATAACGAATGACTTGTTAAAGCCAGTGGAGCACCCGATGATGAATGAATAATGTCAGGTCAGAGCTTTGGGCGACAAACTTCTTCAAAGTTCTGATATTCTGAGGCCTCAAACCGACTGAGTGGATCGAAAGGTCTGAAGGTCACAAGGTTACAAAGTCAGAGTAAACTGGCTCGTATCACAGAGGAAACTGAATGTGAGGGGATATGCTGTATTTTAATTGATTTTAAACCACTCAGCTGGTTTCACTTCATGACCCCTCTTGGTCGACAGGAGGAGGATGGTGATGGTGAAAATGATGGTGATGATTCTCAGAGAGAATCATTGCTTTGGATCCTAGACTCACCGATGAGTTGAGTTCAATGTTTCTGAAGCATCAGAAAACTACTCGGCTAATACTGAAACAGGAAGTAACCTCTGGCTCTGCTAGCTGGTCCCATAGAAGTTTATGAGGAAATTACTCTGCTTCTCCAGCAGGGGGTGACTCCTCTGGTCCCATAGAAGTCTACTAGATTACATTACAGGTAATTTAGGTGACGCTTTTATCCAAAGCAATTTACATTACATTTCATTACATTCATTTTCAACCCATGTCTTTTTACATGTTTGCCAATGGAGCAATTAGGGGTTAGGTGTCTTGCTCAGGGACACTTTGACATGGGACATGGAGCAGCATGGACTCGATCCGCCAACCTTGCGGATCCCGGTGCACCCTCTCTACTCCATGCGCCACAGTCGACTCCTACAAGAAATGACTCTACTTCTCTCTTGATTAATTCCCTCAGTAAACATTGTACACATGAGTTTATGGTCTCTACTTTCAGGTCTTCTTCAATACAGCATAATGTTCATTTAGTAAATTATGGTCCATTTAGAGTCAAACAGACGCTGCTGCTTTAGAGCGGGGCTACACGCTGATGGACAGGTCTCTTGCCGAACTTGATGATTGATTGATTAGGAGGAGGACTAGAGATGAAATAGGTCAGCTCTAATTGGCTGACAGCTTTGCCGCTCGTTACGTCTTCATTAGACTGTGTTCTCTCCACATCAGGTGTCTGACTGCCCCCGCCCCTGAGCAAGGCACTGACTCTGGGCCACACATCCCCAGGTGAGTCACAGAGCTTCAACCCCCTTGACCCCCTTTGCCCCCCCTTTCAGTATCTAAACTGAACCCCAGGGTCTCTTTTTCCTTTTGGCCGATCTGATTGGTCGCAGGACAGCTTGTCTCCAGAAATCACTCTAATCCTCTTAGATAAAACCAAGCCTCGTCCAATCCTCTGCTGCAATCCCTCCCCCTCTCTCCCTCTCTCTCTCCCTCTTTCTCGCCCTCCTTTTCTCCTCTCTCTCTCTCTCTCTCTCTCTCTCTCTCTCTCTCTCTCCCTCCATGGGACTTTTAATCCAAGTGGATTACATTGCAAATTGGGTGACAGTGGAACAAGCGGCTCTAAAATCTGCTGCCGGCTTTGCGTCCCCCTAAATATCTGCAAGGTGGAGGAAGTGACCCGCCCGTTGGTAAGGACCAAACCTGAAAGAACCTCCTTAGAGGGACCACCCCCCACTGGATTTTAAACTCTCTCTCTACTGGACGATTTTCAGGTGCTTCAGAAATGCCTCTGGAAGCCTCTACTGAGGCGATGAGGCGCTGAGGAAGATGCCGGAAGCGGGGCGACTTCGCCCGGACACAACGGAGAACGCTCGGGGTCCACAGCCCCCCACCGAGGCCGACGCCCACTTCCTCTTCTTCTTCTTCTTCTACTCCCTCTAGCCGACATGAGGAACTCTTGGTGATCCTCCCAGATCCTCTTCAGAGTAGATCCAAGTTCAGAGAAAAGACCCCTGGGTCCGTTGAAAGCAGGATGGGGGGCCGGGTGCTCCTGAGGATTCTGGGTCTTCTCTGCTTGTGGATTACGGCTCAGGCTCAGATGAAGATCCCACCGGAGACGTGAGTTCTGCCCTTCATCCCACCTGTGCAGAAGTTACTTTGAAGTGCATCATTTCAACAAAATCAAAACATCCAGTTACTTTTAGTCCAATAGTTTGAGAATGGATGCCGACATGAATATGTCATTTGACTTTTTATTATTTTTAATTGCTAAGGAAAGTATTCCTAATTCCGTTTTTTTTATTATTTTGCGGTAATATTCACTAACAAAGTTTTAATGATTATAAATCCCAACCTGTTTTGCTCTCTGTGGAGCTTGTCGATTTTAAGACTCTCTGTCTTATGAATCTTACAAACACCTTCAGCTTGTTGAACGCGCCCGCCAACAAACATTTGGCGGGCAAGAAGTTTCGCCGATATCGGTTGGTTTGCCTGGCAGCTAGTTAGCAGCGTTAGCTGACATTGCAGCGCTAGCTCATGCTGTCGCTTGTCGCGCTGCCGTGCTGTGCCTTTTCTCCCTACTTGTTTAATTATGACCACCAGGGATGTAGATGGTTTGTTTCCACTAACTGCTGGTCCCCCGATTATAAGTCTCATTGCCGGCTAGCGGTTATCTCCGCTTTTAGGAATAACTTTATTAAACATATTGACATTCCAATGTAACGAACATCTCAGGCCATTGGAAGGTTAGCTTCAAGTTGTAACCTTGCTTTTTAATGCATCAGTTGGCCCGTGACACACACAAACATACGCACACACACACACACTTGCTCGTCTGCGGTCCGGTGTGCTAACCGTCCCTTTACAGTTACCCTGCAGACATCCATCTGTGTTCTGTGAAGCTCACACAAAACAGTCCTGATTGGACTTGTTCCAGATAAATTAAGCCTCAGACGGCGAACTCCCAGAGTGCACCGTGTTTTCACCAGGGATCCCCAGGGAACGCGTCCGTGTCAGCTGACAGCTGACGCCGCCGAGGACGAGCTAAAATCTGCTCTCTGCTTCTGTCCACGACTCCTCAGCAGAGACAAACTCGAATGAACAAAACGTTTCACCTGAAGAGGCCTTCACAGACAACAGGAAAATAAATGTGCACCGAAGCAGCTAGAAACAAAACCAGAAGAACGAAAATAACACAAAATAGATCAGAACAATCAGGAGCAATCAACAATCAGCAATATTTTTTTTGTCTTTAAATTCTTCTTTTCCACATGTATAAAATACACTTCCCAGAATGCATCTGTGTGCACCTCATTAGCATGAAGGCTGTGGAGCAGTGCTACACGCTGCCTCGTGGACACGCCCCTTCCACAGGCCACACCCCTACTCTACCCCACATTCACCACAAATTACCGGTTGCACATTTGGCTGATTTGTGGTCAGGACACTGAATGTGTCGCAGAGGAATTATTCACATCCTTTAATTCGGTAAAAGTACTAATACCACAAAGAAGTACAATCAAATTATGGTATTCACACTGGGTCTGATGTACTAGTATATGTTCTATTCATTTACCGCGACCCAGATTATTAGTTTATGTCATAATCTGCCCTGCAGTCCATCAAAGAAACACATTGTTGTATTTTTAATTGTTTTAATTTAGTGTTTTATTTCTCTGTAAATGCACAATTCAAATGATTAGAAAATAAGACATGCTGTATAACAATGAGCTCATGTTAGGAAGTCAAAAAGATCATAATTCATCTCTACTTTTATGTTATTGTGAAAAAATCTGGATTTATTCAAGTTTTTCACTGAAACTACATTTTACAGATGACACATGAACACATCGTGATGACGTTACCAATCACCGTCAGCTAGCATTAATAATATCGTCAAATCTCAGAGGTCAACGGTCAGACACACAAACACTCGGAGGTTGTAGTTAATTATTTTTCATGTAAATAAAATGCTCTTTTCTTCTGACTGCTGTTAGTTTTCACATTGAGACTTTTGGGATAGTAAATCTGTATCAAGGTCAGGTTGAAATCACCTTGTGATAAGTTAAAATTTAGATAAACATCCTGATAAAATCTCAACCTCTTCTCACTCCCAGGTCCAGAGGATTACATTTTAGAGGTGATCTTGATGGAGGATTTATTTTATTTTGGCGGGTTGATGGTCAGAGCTGGACCCTCAAACAGAGCGCTTGATTTAATCACATTACCAGAGCTGATGTCACCGATACAAGCACCTGGGTGTGAGATAAAGCTCTCCTGTGCTTGTACATGGAAGTTTTTTAGCTCTTTGTTTGGGGTAAAAAGTCTGTCGGTGGAGAGATGAAGTTGTTTTTTATTGTTGCTTCAGGGGACCAGCGGTTTGACATCCGTGTGTTTGATGTCGGGTTTGTTTTATTGAGCTTCATATTCTCAAAGGCGCTTCAGAGATGTTTGAGCGAAGGGCGTCTTCTGCTCTGTGGCTGTTGACATATGGACATATAAGTCCTTTTCTCCCATGAGTGGTAGATATAGATACTCTACTTGATACTTTATTTATCTCTTTGAGTGAAAAACATTCATCACCAATCTGTCTACTCAAATGTTTCCAGGAACATATTTTAATTATTGCAATATGTGGAAGCTTGTGAGACGGCGGCCATGTTGAAAACTGTCGACCCAAAATCCAATGGGGGGCGAAGCCACAACTCGGAGCGGGCGGAGCCAACCGGACCGTCGGTTGGTTCCATTGGTTGTGTGGATGTCCGTCACACAAATTGAAATGTGGAAATATAAACCGCACAAACACCAACAAAGGCTGTTTTAATAACCTTTCAGAAATTTCAAAAAGAAAAATTAACCCACCACTGCTGACATGTAATTGCATGTAGTTACATTTAGATGTTTACATAGTAAAGTGTATTTAAATTTATTGAGATTTATTAAAATAATTTAGGTACATATATTTCAATGTAGTTAAATGTAATTCAATTTAGTTAAATGTAGTTGAAGGTAATTTAATTTGGTTTATATTTACATATAGTTACATGCGGTTAGATTAATTAAATGTCACATCAAACAGCAAGAACCAAATCATACTAAAGATATTACAACTTTTCCTGCTTTATTTGTTGTTTTTGTTTCTAAACAGCTTTTAACAGTTTAGTCTATATACTGAAGCCTAGATAAAAAATAACATGCTATATCCCGTCTGTGTTTGTGTGTGTGTGTGAATTTAGAGGATTAGAGTCCAGAACAGATGCATCAATAAACTGCTGCTAGATAAACACACACACACACAGGCTGCATGTTAAATGGAAGATTTTCATAACTTTTTAAGTCAAACACCAAATAAATCTGCATCTGTAACGTTTGTTTGACATAAAGATGCAGCCGTGTTTGTTTAGTCCTTTGCACCTGTATTGTTATTTAACGTATTAAAGTTATTATGGTGTCACTGGTATCATTATCTCTCCTTTACAGTGGTGCCCTGACACATTTAACCTTTTTTCAGACAATTTAAAGATAATTTGAATGCAGTCCACTTGGCCACACACCAAAACCAAACAACTATTTCAACAATTCCTCTACTTGTTTTATTTAATCATGGAAACCGGATTCATTTCCAAAGAGAAACGCAAGCTTGTAAAGTCGTATAAAATTACAAAACTCATCTCAAAAAGCTGCTGAAAGAGCTGAAAAACCTGACCGAGTGTGAGGTAAGGTGTGTGTGTGTGTGTGTGTGTGTGTGTGTGACCCAGATGAACATCAGATTATCTAAATCTCTTTCATCGCTGTCGTATTTAGCTGCCTTTTTCTGCCCAAACTCACCGCCTCTGCTGCTAGCCGTCACCACGGCAACAGCCCACTGGACGAGAGGCAATCAACTTATCTTTATTAAAGTAACACAACAACCCTAAGAAACCTCGGGAAGTTCCTCTCTATTTTTTACTTTTGCTCTTGTCAAATGTTACTCTCTTTGGTTTTGAGTTTCCATTCAAAATAGAAGTCCTGCTGTCCTGTGCAAACAGAACCATGATGACTACAAGTAGAAAGAACGGAACCTTTTTTTACAGAATAATACAGTTATATTGATATATATCAGGCAACTTTCTTGAGAAAAAAAACTACATTTTAATCTTTCTATATATACTGTATATATATGTATAAAAAACTTAAATATAGATCAAGCTGCAACTCAGGGTCCTCCTGGGGTTCTTCATTGATCCTGCTCTGTGTTTGTTTGATGACTGCCCCCTTGTGTTTTAGGGTGCAGCAGTGGGCGATGGTGCTCTCCACTCAGCTACGAGACCTCACCACCAAATACTCAGGCTCTCTGCTTCTCCAGAAGGTAAGCCTAATTTTACTGCTTCTGCTTTGGGACAGGGGGAGGGAGGTATTAGCATAGATAACGTTATCTTAGCATACCAGCCTGAACATGAAGAACATCTGGAACAAGTGACCAGAGTCTGTGGAGCACAGCTGGACAAAGCTGCGCCGCGATTGGCCGGTCTGAGATAAAGGGGCGTGACTTGGTAAAGGGGCCGTTCTCTCCTTCGTGTTTTTGAGTTGTCCTGTTTCAGGGAAACCTGGAGCTAATCTAGTGAAATCTGTCATCATTTTCAGATGGATTTAAGGATTAAATGATCAGAAGTTGGTGGTTGAAGGTCACTGTGACCTCACGAAACACAGCAAACGACGTGTCGGCTTTTGTGGAGGCGCTGAACAGCGAGGCTGTTGTTCCAGTTTGGTTTCTCTACAGTCGATTCTATGATTTCTCTCTTCGCTAATCCAGAATCAGTGTGAACTCTACGACTCTGGTGGGCTTTAAATATTGTCCGGCGTTTTTAGAATTAAGAAGGTTGAACTGGGAAAAGAAAGCAATGGGAGCGTGTGTGTGTGTTGTGTCATAGTGACTCTGTATGTGTGTGTGTGTGTTTACCAGGGAGAACACACACACAAACAGGGATCATGGTAATGCCCAGATTGAGGGCCGAGCCCTCTTTACTGGCGTCGGGATTTGTGGCCTGTTCTGATTCTAGTCATTCATCCATTTATCAGATTTGGATTCATCACAGCAGCTGCAGTTATTCTGCTTGCAGAGACTCTGAGACTTTGACCCACAACCACATAAAGCAGATCCTAAAATAAATGTCATGGGGGAGAATCTTGTTAAGTGTCGGACTCATAAACTGATGTCGCCATCTTGGATTTCATACATCCAGGAGGACGTAGAGACAGGGATGTGTGGGGAAGGCAGGACTCAAATGCAGAGTTTAACGCAAAAACAACTTTAATAGTCAAAAACTCTAAGTAACAGGCCAATGGGCAAAAACATACACAAGTACCGGAGGGAAAAAAGGTAGACAGGGACAAGGGACAAGGAACATGGAACATCCAGACGGTAGACAGGGACAAGGACCATCCAGGACGACAAACAATGACACGACAAATGACAGGAGACACACATGGCTTAAATACACTGGGGAGGTGCAGGTGATTGGACACAGGTGAAAACAATCAGACAATCACAGACGATGACAGGACAAGGCAGGAAGTGAAGTTACCCAGGGAGACAAGAAGCAGAAAACTACAAAATAAGACAGGAAATCAAACCACACCGTGACAATATGGTCGAGACCTGTCAATCACAGTTAGCCCCGCCCTTAAACGACCCCTGCTTCATTGTGATTCAGTGTAAATAACCACAGCGGGACGTTCCTGCTCGCTCTCAGCTGGCTCGTCCACCTCCAGCACCTTGATCCAGAGACACTGACCTGATTCCCTCAGAGAACCTTTGCTTTACACCCCCTCCCCACCCCCCTAACAAAACAAAAAACACACACACACATCTCCACATAATCTGAGAGTCAGTCTCTCGATCCGAATTAACTCTGAGAAAAAAAACCACACCAATCTGCCAACGGCATCAGATTAGTTTCACGGTTTCTACTGCTTCAATTAACCCGAAATGAAGCAGATCAGATCCAGATCAAAGGACAACCTCCTTCCTGTTCAAAAGAGGTGTTACGTCATAACTCATCATCATGATGAAGATGACTCAAAAGTTGGCCTTGTTCGTATAGTTGTGTTTGATCATAAGTTCTTGGTTTTAGAGCTCAAAGCGTTTACAACTAAAATAAGGAACACTAAAGAGACTATCTGTTCTTCTGGGTTACCCTAACCGTCAGAATAAAAGACAACAAAAGACAAAGACAACAAAGGTAATTCCCTCATTGTGGATTCAATACACCAAAGTGAACTGCTAACTAGGTTTAACACTACTCGACCCAAAGGCACTTAAACGAGGCCAAACTGTCCAATCCAAACCTCCCTTCCATAGAAGGGTGTCCATCGAGGAAGCACCAACACAACTACTCAGATGTGAGTACTTGGTAGTACCAATAGGGCTTAACATGTGCATTTCTCTTTCAGAAACTGAAGGACGTGGAGTCCATCATTAAGATCGTGGAGCTGGACGGAGGCGACCTGGTGAAGAAATACTCGGACGAGATCGAGCGAATGTTGGGAAGCAAGAGGAAGTCTGTGAAGGTGAGGAAGAAGAGGCGTGGTGCATTCAAATACACCGCAGGATCATATCTGATGATGACATGAAGTGTCATCATCAGTCTCTTCAAACTCAATCTTATATTTATTATTAATTAAAAGATCACCCTGGCGATCTCACTATGACATCATAAGGGTAGAACTGGTACAGTGTCCCTTTAAGACTGCGATCACTGAATAAGGGCTGCGGTCCAATAGTCCTTTTTGTTCCTGAATTAAGTATTTAAGTGTCCTTCATGACAAGAGCTATCAAATCCACTAAATGCTTGAATACTTCCTTTATTAGTTCTTCTAGCCTCGGAAAGGTGCTTCAATAGTTCCTTCATTAGCTCCTTTAGCATAGGAAAGGTGCTTCAATGCTTCCTTCATTAGCTCCTTTAGCATCGGAAAGGTGCTTCAATGCTTCCTTCATTAGCTCCTTTAGCATCGGAAAGGTGCTTCAATGCTTCCTTCATTAGCTCCTTTAGCATCGCAAAGGTGCTTCAATGAATCCTTTATTAGCTCTTTTTGCAAAGGAAAGGACCCTCAATGCTTCCTTTATTAGCTCAACTAGCATAGGAAACACTGGACCTTCCTTTACCAAAGGAAAAGACATTCCTTCCCACAATGCCTTGCAAAAGCATAATGTAAAGTGACTGAAATAGATAAACTGAGATTATGAAACTAACAGTGGTCATAACTTGTATTATTGGTGTGTATTGGGGTGCGCAGTTACAGTATTTGTCCTCTTTGACTTTTCTTCTTTCATTTACATCCCAACCTCGTTAATAAAGTCCTTCTTTCAATGTGAGTCTTCCTCGCGACTAAGTATCTAAGAGGATCCTTCTGAACATTGTAGTTCTACGTGAGTAACTACGTAGGTCAGTGAAGGTGAAGAAGGTTCTCTTTTCTCCTCATGAACTCTTGGCACAAAAACCCTGAGGACGTTTTCCTTTAGAGGCCGAGTAAAAGTGGTCGAGAAAGGACGATAGTAGGTCCTTTTTGGACTATTCAACCAAAAAACAGTTACTACTGGGATTACTGCAGTGTCCCCCCCCCCAGGTTTACAGCTGGCAGGGGGGCGGTGGGGGTTTGCGGACGGACACAGTGATTTACTTTTTATTTCATTCATCTCATTGTTTTTTGGTGGGGGTGTACCCCCCCTATATTATGATGGATTAGTGGGGTGGATTAAAGCAGTCTGGAGACTTCATCTTCGCTGTTGTCACTATGCAGAACGATGATGGATTTATTCTCACACTTCCTGTTTCCTGTCTCAGAGGTTGGCGGAGTCGGCAGAGGACGCCGACCTGTACCACGATTTCAACGCTACGATGAAGGTCGGTGCTCTTCGTTACCCACCCAACTGAATTTTAAAGTTCATATTGAAGAGTTACCCACCTTCGTGTTGTCCTCCTTGTTTAAATTTGTATTTCTTTTACTCCACACTACAACCTGCAGGCCTGAAACCACGCTGAGCTGAAATAATCCCTCGACGCTTTAACTGGCCTAAGCTGTCAGCTGTGCTTTAAGATAAACGCTAACGTTAGCGCGCTAACAGCTGGGCGGAGCTTTAAAGCTTCACCTGAGATTAGGTCGACCTCCCCTGATGCTGTGAGGAAACTAGGATGACAGCGCATCAGAAAAGCAGAACAGAACAATAGAAACATTCATAGAGATGCAAAAACACACATGCAGGTCGTAGCAAAACAATCCAGTCCGTTTGTGTTTCAGAGTAAAACCAAAGATAAACCAAAGCAAAGATATTTAAATGACTAGCATCTATTTCTGAATCAGATTTCACTTTCATTTACATGTTAACCGGTGTACTGAAAGTAGTCAGGCTGTCCCTTTTGCTGTCAAAGTCAGCATCTTATTCTGAATGGAAACTTCTTCCTGTCTTCCCACCAGTTTGACTACTACAACTCCATGCTGATCAACACGGCGGACGAGGACGGGAACAGCGTGGAGCTGGGCGGCGAGTTCCCCCTGGAAGAAAACGAGCACTTCAACAAGCTGCTGGTGAACACGCTAATGAGCGACATCCAAATCCCCACCAACGTCTACAACAAAGGTCAGAGGTCGTCCTGCGTGTCCGGCTAACGCGCTTCCTGTGAGCTTCCGCCCTTAATCACACTCCTCTGTGTGCAGACCCCAACATCCTCAACGGCATCTACAACTCCGAGGCGTTAAACGACGTCTTCATCGCTAACTTCCAGAAGGATCCCACTCTCACCTGGCAGTTCTTCGGCAGCTCCACCGGCTTCTTTAGGATTTACCCCGGTTAGTCTGAGCTCTGGTCTGTGCTCTAGTCTGAGCTCCAGTCTGAGCTCTAGTCTGTGCTCTAGTCTGAGCTCCGGTCTGTGCTCTAGTCTGTGCTCTAGTCTGAGCTCTAGTCTGTGCTGTAGTCTGAACTCTAGTCTGTGCTCTAGTCTGTGCTCTAGTCTGACCTCTAGTCTGTGGTCTAGTCTGTGCTCTAGTCTGACCTCTAGTCTGTGCTCTAGTCTGTGCTCTAGTCTGAACTCTAGTCTGAGCTCTATTCTGTGCTCTAGTCTGAACTCTAGTCTGAGCTCTATTCTGTGCTCTAGTCTGAACTCCAGTCTGAGCTCTAGTCTGAACTCCAGTCTGACCTCTAGTCTGAGCTCTAGTCTGTGCTGTAGTCTGAACTCTAGTCTGTGCTCTAGTCTGTGCTCTAGTCTGAACTCTAGTCTGAGCTCTATTCTGTGCTCTAGTCTGAACTCTAGTCTGAGCTCTATTCTGTGCTCTAGTCTGAACTCCAGTCTGAGCTCTAGTCTGTGCTCTAGTCTGTGCTCTAGTCTGAGCTCTAGTCTGTGCTCTAGTCTGAGCTCTAGTCTGAGCTCTAGTCTGAGCTCTATTCTGTGCTCTAGTCTGTGCTCTAGTCTGAGCTCTAGTCTGACCCCTGATCTGAACTCTAGTCTGAGCTCTACTTTTAACTGTAATCTGAACTGTAGTCTGAGCTTCAGTCTGAGCTCTGAGCTTTGGGCTGAGCTCGAGCCTCATCTTAAATCCCACCTTTATTTCCAACAGAATATTGAAGTTTTGAAATCTGACTATCACGTCTGTTTTCACATCCATGGCTGAGATGAATGTCGTAATTTGGGCAATTTAAACAAAACAACCAATAAGAGTCGGGGGTGTATTTCGATAAAGCTGTGGTTCTCTCTCAGGTATCAAATGGACTCCAGACTCCAACGGCGTGGCAGCTTTCGACTGCAGGAACAGAAACTGGTGAGTTGAGGACTGGTGGTTTGATGGATTGTCGTGATGTTTAAAACAGGGATTCACGTTCCCCTGAAGATGTGAGGAGCTGCCACCACGATTTTGATATGGCAAATAAACATGAAGATCAAAACAGCCGATTATTTCCTCTGCTGGATTCAAAGGAAGATGGCAAATATTTTCACGCAGTTTTTTGTTAAATATTATAAATATAATACTGTGTTTTAAGCTCTTATCAATGCTCTTCGTGGTCGTATCAATGCCCTTAGTGGTCTTAATGGTCTTATCAATGCTCTTAGTGGTCTTATCAATGCTCTTAGTGGTCTTAATGCTCTTATCAATGCTCTTAATGCTCTTATCAATGCTCTTATCAATTCTCAATAGTGTGTCATGTGTAAACAAATTATATTTCTTAAAAGTCAAACAGCACAAATGCTTCAATAACTCTCAATAAGCTCAATGAGCTCAACAAGCTCTGTTTCCATGAAAACAACTAAACGTCAAACGTGGAGGGACCAATTGGAGAAGAGGAAAAGGTACTAGAAGTTAAACTAAAGCTCCGTTATCTTACAGTCTGTTTACCGTAGAAAAAGACGTGGACGCCACACTCAAACAGGGGGCGTGTCCACCCCCCTGATCCTCTGGAGAAAAAACGCTAAGCCTTCTCGGCTTTTCTAAATAATACCAGAGAGCTGCATATGTCCTTGAACGCCTCGTCACAGGGCATTAATGGCGGGGGGGATCCATGTAAGAGCTGTGATCCTCCATAGAACCCTCTCCTTTATGAGTTAAAACTTCAAGTATCAAATCTGCGCACTTCATGACGTTTTGTGTCAAGTGTTAAGTGTGTTAATAACAATATAACAAATACAGAAAAAAAAATATATATATATATATATAAATATCTAGCGTGTTGAGGGGTGATGCCGTGGTGCATTCAGGTACATCCAGGCAGCCACGTCTCCCAAAGATATCATCATCATGGTGGACATCAGCGGCAGCATGAAGGGGCTGAAGATGACCATCGCAAAGCACACCATCAACACCATCCTGGACACACTAGGGGAGAACGACTTCGTCAACGTTATCGCTGTGAGGGACGCACACACACACGCACACACACACACAGTGTTAGAAGAAGTGAGAGTACTAACACAACTAAAACTACTCTGTCCGTCACTATAATTAGTCAAATGTACTTTTTACACCAATAATCTAAAAGCCTGTCTCCTCCTCTGCGTCTCGTCCTCCGTGTTTCTTCCCCTTGTGTCTCCTCTTCAGTACACTGACTATATTCGGTACGTGGAGCCGTGCTTTAAAGGAACCTTGGTCCAGGCCGACTTAGACAACCGAGAGGTGAGACATCATCGGCTACACACACACACACACACACACACACACACATTGTGGCTCCACCTACAGCTGTTTCTTTTGTCTCTTTGTCCTTCAGCACTTCAAGCAGCTGGTGGACGAGCTGCACGTTAAAGGAGAAGCGAAGATCAAGAACGCCATGAAGGAGTCCTTCAAGATCCTCAACGAGGTCCGTGTCCGCTCACGGTCCCAGGGGGCTGATCCCGCCAAGCCGCTTTAGAAATGACCAACGTGACGAGTTCCTTTATAAACGGAACCGAGTATGTCCACATGAACTAAGCTTGTGTGTGTTTGTGTGTGTGTCTGGCCTCTGCGTGTGTGTGTGTGTGTGTGTGTGTGCGTGCGTGCGTGCAGGCAAAGCTGAGTGGGCGGGGCAGCATGTGTAACCAGGCCATCATGCTGATCACAGATGGAGCAATGGAGGACTTTGAGTCTGTCTTTGAGGAGTTCAACTGGCCCGAGCGCCGGGTGAGGAGCTGCTTTATTTCATTCATGTATTCATTCTTAATGGATTAATTGTTATAATTGTTAATAATTATATATTATATATATTTATAATTATTAACAATTATAATAGAATTAATGAATATAATTAATATTACAAACAAGAAACAAGCTTCACATCTGCTTCATTCATAAGATACGGCTTCCTGTGTGTCCTCAGGTGAGGGTCTTCACCTACCTGATCGGCAGAGAGATGACCTTCGCCCAGAACACCAAGTGGATCGCCTGCAACAACAAAGGTCAGAGGTCGCTGCGAGTGAGATGGAGCGTGTGTGTGTGTGTGTGTCACAAACGTCTGTGTGTGTTTCCTCAGGTTACTACACACACATCTCCACGCTGGCCGACGTGCAGGAGAACGTCATGGAGTACCTGCACGTTCTCAGCCGGCCGATGGTCATCAACCACGACCACGACATTATCTGGACCGAGGCCTACATGGACTCCGTGGTGAGCCGGCCAATCACAGAGCTCCAAAGGAGCCGTTCATGGTCAAACATCTTGTGCCTCCTGAACATCCTCCATCCAGTCTTCATCATCGTTATCACTTCATCCATCTGTCTGCTTCCTCCTCTGTGTTTTTTTATCGCTCCATTCTCCCATGATCCTCTGGGCCTTTCCATCCATCGCTGCGCAGCTTCCCAGCACCAAGGAGGTAACGAAGAAGAAGTGCTGGTGTTAGATGAACGTGATTTAAGGGTAGAAGAAGTCACTAATGTCTGTAAAGTAATAAATCTATATTCATGTCACTTATATAAACGTTTATAAATAATCCAGAAAAAGATTTGACTTTTTATTTCTTCTCCACTGCAAGAAGAACAACACACGTTTTACACATTGATACTTCCATATTACACACAATCACACATGAACGACTCCCTTTAAGTTATTTCTTGACCCTGCTGGAGGGCCCTGGCCCTCATGTTGAGAACCGCTGGTTGGAGTGATTGTAGTACTTTTACCACCAGGGTGTTCTTTGTTTTAAATGCACACAGCGGTCGCACATCGCCACCTGGAGTCCAACACGAGAGCTGCGACGGTTATTACATGTGTGTGGAGGAAGAAGAACGAGCTTCATATACAAACACGTGTTTAATACACGTTCAGACTTTATTTATCAACTGCATTGAATGAAAATGAATGAAATGTTGATGGTTCACTGTTTGGTTGTGTTTCAGCTCTTCTACACCAAAGCTCAGAGTCTGCTGCTCATGACCTCGGTGGCCATGCCGGTCTTCAGCAAGAAGAAGGAAACGGTCCGCTCTGGTTTCTCTGTTAACGGTTCTTGTCCGTGTGAAGGCGTGTGAAGGCGTGTGAAGGCGTGTGAAGGCGCGGGAAGACATCACGTTGTGCCTGAAGCTTGTGTGTTCTTTTGAAGGAGACAGCCGTTACCTCAGACTTTGTTTGGTCCAAAGATCTCAATAAATATGACGTTTTATTTTACCTATACGAGGAAGAAATCCATTAAAAGTATACTTTGACAATTATACATCAAGCAATTATTATCAAAAGGTGAAAATATCACTTAGTTTTGTTTTGTGGTCTGTTGAGAACTTTATTATCTCTTAATATCCTTTAAAAACTTTTAAATGGAAGTAGTAGTTTATTCTGTGAATTCTTTCAATTGTTAATAATATTATATTTTATTATCTCCCAGCTGTCCCATGGGATCTTACTGGGTGTGGTTGGCACAGACGTCCCGCTGATGGAGGTGATGAAGCTGGCGCCCCGATACATGGTGAGCTGTGTGTGTGTGTGTGTGTGTGTGTGTGTGTGTGTGTGTGTGACCAGCAATCAAGTCCTTTCACAATAAATGTCTTCCACGTGTGTCTTGATCTTCCCCCACAGCTGGGAGCTCACGGCTACGCCTTCCTCATCACCAACAACGGCTACATCCTGGCGCATCCCGACCTCCGACCTCTGGTGAGTGACACAGGGCGTAGAGGTCCTAATGGGAGCTAAGAAGTATTTACGAGTTTCTCCTCCCCCACAGTACCAAGACGGGAAGAAGCTGAAGCCCAAGCCCAACTACAACAGTGTGGACCTGTCGGAGGTGGAGTGGGAGGACACAGAGGAGAAGGTAACACGGCACACGTCACATGGTATGGTCCGACCCAGGGGAGAAGGTAACGTGTCACATGGTATGGTCCAGGGGAGAATGTAACGCGACACATCGTACACAAATGGCAATAGAGACAGAAAACATCCCATCAGAGCCGTTAGTCAGAAAACATATAGATTATAGGATGATGGTATAATATTTAAAGCATTACGTTATAGTTAATACATTTATTTTAGTTTTTTTACCCGAAAGTAACCATTGGATATTGCCTCAACACACTGCTTATCCCTAGACGGTGGTGAAGTTGACCCCTTCCCCCCCGTCGCGCTGTGAGGACACAGTGACAAATTTACCTAATGCATAAATTAACATAAACTTTGAGGCTGTTTCTGTGAAATACACTAAAATATGTGACTTTGTGTTTTAACCAGCTGAGAACCGCCATGGTGAGGGGAGAGACCGGCTTCATCCAGCTGAACATCAGAGCCTCAGTGGACAAAGGGGTGAGGAGGGTCAGGGTGACCCTGCCCTGGGATTTGGTTGGGTCCAGGGTAAAGGATATATATATATATAGATATATATATATAACATCACATTCTCCTCCAACAGAAACGACCCCTGTACCTCGTCAACAACTATTTCTACACCAACATCGACGAGACTCCTTTCAGGTAAAAGTTGCTGCTGGTTAGTGGAAGGGTCAGTTGATAATCATCTGGAGTGTGCTTATGGAGTGTGCTAATGGAGTGTGCTAATGGAGTGGGCTAATGGAGTGTACTTATGGAGTGTGCTTATGGAGTGTGCTAATGGAGTGTGCTTATGGAGTGTGCTTATGGAGTGTGCTTATGAAGTGTGCTTATGCAGTGTGCTAATGGAGTGTGCTAATGGAGTGTGCTTATGAAGTGTGCTTATGGAGTGTGCTTATGGAGTGTGCTTATGAAGTGTGCTCATGGAGTGTGCTAATGGAGTGTGCTAATGGAGTGTGCTTATGAAGTGTGCTTATGGAGTGTGCTTATGGAGTGTGCTTATGAAGTGTGCTCATGGAGTGTGCTTATGGAGTGTGCTAAGGGAGTGTGCTAATGGAGTGGGCTAATGGAGTGTACTTATGGAGTGTGCTTATGGAGTGTGCTAATGGAGTGTGTTAATGGAGTGTGCTAATGGAGTGTGCTTATGGAGTGTGCTTATGGAGTGTGCTTATGGAGTGTGCTTATGGAGTGTGCTCATGGAGTGTGCTTATGAAGTGTGCTTATGGAGTGTGCTTATGGAGTGTGCTTATGGAGTGTGCTTATGGAGTGTGCTAAGGGAGTGTGCTAATGGAGTGGGCTAATGGAGTGTACTTATGGAGTGTGCTAAGGGAGTGGGCTAATGGAGTGTACTTATGGAGTGTGCTTATGGAGTGTACTTATGGAGTGTGCTTATGGAGTGTGCTTATGAAGTGTTTCTTCTCTCTCTTTCCGTCTCTTCTTCTCTCCTTCAGCTTCGGCATGGTGCTGACAAAAGGTCACGGAGGCCTCATGTTTGTTGGAAACGTGTCTGTGGAGGAAGGTTAGAGTTCCCACAATGCTTTTATGCAGACACTTGTTGAATCCACATGGGTGATGATCTTATTGATGGCCGATGGTTGATTTTCATTGATTCATTGATGTAAAATTAAATTCTAACACACACAGATTTACTATAAAGTCAAAAACAGAACAACAGAGTCATACATTTTTTTAGTAAGAATAGGAAAATTGATTTTGCGATAGAAAGAGAAATAATTAAATGAATAAAAGTAAATTGTAAATACAAAGAAGAATAAAGTAAACAAATTTAGGAATATAATGACCATTTATTTTGTAATTTATTTATTAATTTACCTCCTATATGTTTTTTGTTACATTTTAACAATTATATATTGATACATTTTTATACAAGTTACTTTATTTCTTCTCAATATATTAAAAAATTACTTCTTTTTTTTTACACTTTTTATTATTGCTTTTGGTTTTTTTTCTCATTTTCATTTCATTGTTGCTATCGATGCTCATTCTCACGACTTGGCACTTTTAAAAAAAGTTACTGCAGTAAAAGTACTAATACCACACTGAAAATCGTACGCTTTGATTAAAAATACTGGAACTTCATTCGTATTAGTATTTCTAGTAGTATTTGTTTGTGTCTTCCTCTGCAGGTTTGCACGACCTCACCTCACCCGACCTCAGCATCGCCACCGAGTGGTATGTACGTCCTCTACCTCTACCATAGAGTGATATTTAATACAGCAGATTGCATCCCCTCTTATTTTATCTGTGCTGGAACATTCAAATACGGCAACAAATGACGAACTGCATTGTTTAATTGTTCCGTAAATTGCAAGGTGATTGAGGAAGTAGAGAGAGTTGTGACATTGTCATCTATTAAATATCTGATCTTGTATAAAAAAGGTTGTGTTTAAGCTGTTCCTGAGAGTCCTAGTTCATTGAAGCTCTCTTCCTCAGGACGTACTGTGAGACCGACATCGACCCGAGCCACCGCAAGTACTCTCAGCTGCAGGCTGCCATCCGCTACCTGCTGGGCCAGGAGCCCGACCTGGAGTGTAGGTCCCAACCACACAGCTTCTCCCATCATGCATTTCCTTTGTCTCCAGTGGTAGTGACATGGAGAAGGTTTTGGGAGAAGGAAGAGAATACGAATCCATGAAGCTGCATTCTCTGTAGTAACCAGCAGGGAGCGACTCCTCTGGTCCCATAGAAGTCTATGAGAAAATGACTACTCTCTTGATTTATTCCCTCAGTAAACATTCTTTATGGTCTCAATCTTTAGTTTCAAGTCTTCTTCAATACAGCGTGATGTTCATTTAGTGAATTATGGTCAATTTAGAGTCAAACAGACCATAAAGCAGGGGATGCTTTAGGGCGGAGCTACACACAAGTGATTCACACGTTAGACTTGTTAACCGTGTTTTGTCCGTTGCCTAGGCGACGAGCTGTTGCTGCAGCAGACGCTGTTCGACGCCGTGGTGACGGCTCCACTGGAGGCCTACTGGAACGCCCTGATGCTAACAGATAGGTGAGACCCCTCTCAGTTCACACCTGCAGCATTAAAGGGCCAGTTCACCCAACGTAGAAGGTATTTGTGTTTAAAATACCTCACGTTTCTCCGGCCATTCCTCTCAGCTCTGTGTTCACTTTCTGAAGTTTTGAAGATCTGCCAACAATGTTCTCACAGCCTCATGCTGAGATAAAAAGGGTTTCTACTTTCTGGTGCTTCTCCGTCCGTGCAGAGTGGAGCCGGGGGTGGAGACGGCCTTCCTCGGAACTCGAGCCGGTCTCACGAGGTGGATGAGATACGCCGGAGTGGAGACCAGAGTGGCAAAGTAAGACCCCCCCACCCCCCCCTCTTCAAACTCACACAGTGTGAGCTGAGAGGTAGCGTTTGACAGGCAACCGTGCCTCAGCCTTTGGTCTGGTTGTCACCTGCTGGTTTAAGGAACCAAGATACTGTGCAGTTCTGCCTTACCTGAACTATGAAGTATCAGAATCCAAAAGTGTTTTAAATAGAGTTGGTCAGGGGGGGAGCCGGGCTCTGTTGATGAGTCCGACTATTGACGGGAAGAAGCTGTTGGTGTGGCGAGAGTTCTTGGTCCTGATGGACCTCAGCCTGCTGCCAGATGAAGGCGCACAAACAGTTTTGTCCGGGGTGAGAGGGGTCAGCTACGATCTTTCTAGCTCGCTTCCAGGGCCCTGAATTCCTGGAGGAACGGCAGATTGACGCTTTAGATTGGACATTATTATTGACATTACACAATAATAATAATACAAATAAAGTTGCGTACAAAAAACAAATCCTAATGTTAAAATCCAAGGATTAAAAAGCTACGGCTTCCCCGTGCTGGCTGAGCTAATCCCGCAATGGATTTCAAAGTAAAATGTGTCTGCCCCCCCCCCAACAGACGGTTTCTGACAGCGACCGACAAGGACAACTTGTTCACCGTGGACCACTTCCCTCTGTGGTACCGCCTGGCCGTGGAGAACACCCCCGGCAGCTTCTACTACTACCCCGTCAACGACAAAGGTAGGGAGCCCGTCGCCATGGCGACCGCCTTCTTTAGAAACGTCTCCCCAGAGAGCTGACGTGTTGCCTCCACAGGGGTGAAGTACGTGATTGCGGTGACGGCGGTGACGGTGTCCTCCGAAGGGAAGACGGCGATGGCCGCAGGTGAGTCGCGATGCTCTGGAGGATTTTTCTGGGATGTTACATACGTCTTTGTTTCTTCAATATTGGTAATTTATCATCAACTGGAACGTTGGAGCACATCAGCACTTCACATAGTTCTGAGAAATTTTCAATCTCCTCAAAAAATAAGGATTGAAAGGATTTTAGGTCTTTATTCCTCTATTCTACCTCCGTAGACCATAATGTCGCTAATGAAATATGAAAACCTTCATCTCAGTGACTTGAACAAGCAGCTGGAACAAGTGTTGGATTCAAACTCAAAGGAACTTTAATTCTGCTCTTATCTGAAAAAAAACTAACCAGAAAGTAATATTAATTAAATTAGATTATGTAGTATCTGATATTTCTTTAGGGGCGGCACGGTGGTGTGGTGACTTGCACTGTCGCCTCACAGCAAGAAGGTCCTGGGTTGGACTCCGCCCAGTGGCCTTTCTGTGTGGAGTCTGCATGTTCTCCCCGTGTCTGCGTGGGTTCTCCCAAAGACATGCTCTGGGGATCAGGTTAATTGGTGACTCTAAATTGCCCGTAGGGGTGTGGATGTGAGTGTGAATGGTTGTGTGTCTCTGTGTAGTTCTGCGATTGGCTGGCGACCAGTCCAGGGTGAACCCTGTCTATCGCCTGAAGTTAGCTGGCATAGACTCCAGCCCCCCCGCGACCCTGTGTGCAGGATAAGCGGTTTTACAATGGATGGATGGATGATATTTCTTTATATTTTATCACGATCAAATAAAAGTCGGATAGTTGTCGTTGTCCTGAAGGTTGAACCTCTCTCTGTTAGTGAGCAGTAGATGGACCCGACTTCCTGGATGAGTTGGATGTTTTTAAAAATAATCAGAAAGAAATGCAGACTAGATAAATATACTGTTTATTATGTTCAGCATGAATAACCAACCTTGAGGGAAATTTCAGACGATGTTTCATGTGCTTACCACCAAAAATATAGAGGAAATGATAAAAATACACAGAGGTTACAGCATATCTGGGCTGAAAGCCTTTCACAGGCACAAACATACACACACACACACACACACACACACATACACTATGTGTTGGGGGGAAGCGGCTGGTTGGTGCTGGAGGGGAAGCAGCTGCAGCTCACAGCTCCGCCCTCTAAGGGGCGGTGCAGCTCCAGTGTTTAGGTGGAGCTTAAAGCAGCCGGACTGACGGAGGGAGACTTCCTGATAAAACACCAAGCAAACAACGCCACACGTAACTGGTTCACGTCTTGTTGGAGAAGGTTCGTCCTCTTCCTAACAAAGAGGGAGGACAACAATGACTGGAGAAGGGGGAGGAGCAGAGGAGGGGGGGGCAACCAGCCGAAGGGACACTGGACTTAACTTCCTCAGAAGCTGCTGATCCGATACCCGTGCACAATGCCCTCTTTGAGCGCCGGCTCCTCCGGCGACGCCGGCGCCGACATCTGCCCGTCCTCCGGGTCTGTGTCGGCCCCGGACTCGGCCATCAGCGGCTGGCCACGGTTCTTGACCTCCCTCTGGTACCGCGCCATCAGCGAGGCGTACACGCAGCCGTAGGTGGCCGCCACCACCATCATGACACACACAGTGCCGCAGATCACACCGGCCACGATCTGCGTGCCATGCGCCCGGCGGACGCTGGCGGGCCGGTAGCGCTGGCGGACACAGTCATCGTTGCTGTTGATGCGGCCCGGCGGGCAGGGGGGCCGGGTGGCGTGACCCGCAGTGCCCTCTCTGGTCGCGCTGCGCAGGCAGTGGCTGAACATCTCGGCCGGCACGCTGCGGATGTCCCTGCCCCTCAGGTCCACTGGGAGGCCGCACCGCATGGCGTCCACCTTTCCATCTGTAAGAGGCAGACGGAGGGAGTTAAGGGGGTTGAGGGACACAGAGGTGGTTATTTGCTCAGTAGATGGGAGACTAATCGGCTTTCTGAATGATGGACTTGGTGTTCTGAGGTGTGGCGCGGCTCACCCCTGTAAATCAACCACTCCATCCAGTGCTTAAAGTCTCTCAGCTTGCAGTCGCATTCCCAGGGGTTCCCCGCCAGCCGGAGCTGCTGGAGCCCCACTAGGGGCTCGAAGGTGACTCGGTCCAGGGCCGCCAGGCGGTTGCTGGCCACGGAGAACCAGGCCAACCTCTGGAGGCCGTCCAGTAGGCCCTGGGGCAGCCGTAGGAGGCCGTTGGAGGACAAGTCCAGCCCACGCAGCCGCCACAGACCCCTGAAAGCGTCCTTGCTAAGACCGTTACCCTGGGCCGCCGGTGTGATGGTGTTGTTGTTGGGGTCGGAAGTCACCGGGCGCACGCCGAGGCGGTTAGCGGAGAGGTTGAGCCAGCGCAGGCCGCCCAGGCCAGAGAAAGCTCCAGGCCGCAAGCCCGACAAGTGGTTCTGGGACAGATCCAGGAGCTCCAGGCCGCTGAGGCTGGACAGCTCGTCGGTGCCCAGGGAGGAGAGATTGTTCCGGGGTAGGCGGAGGATCACAGACTCCGGATCCAGCAGCCTCAGGACGGGCGCCAGAGAGAGGAGGCCGACGGCCGTGCAGTCAGTGGTGTTGCCATAGCAGGTGCAGCCACCGGGACAACCGAGAACCGGGCCAAGTGGGCCCAGGAGAGCCAGGACTAGACCCGACAGGACCGCACACGCTGGAGGAACACACACACAACCCACTTTTATACAAACCCTGAGCTTTGGCGTGAACAACGCTGAAACACTGCGACGTCTGGGACTCACCCAGACTCTCCCGGTGACTCCGTCCCTGCTGGTCCAGGTTCTTCATGTCTGTCCCATCGACACCTTTAGGCTCTCATCCAGATATGTTTGCTCTCTACTGGTCAGTCAGTAAACATAACGTAAGTTAACATTTTTTATACAGTAGAGGCGCTTCGCAATATGTACAGCAACTCCCATTCAGAAGGGACACGGGAGGCTGGAGCTGAGTACTATCATAATCTAAAAACAAAACACAAGGTAAAGATGTGGAGAGAACACACTTGACTGGAAAAGAAGAGTAGAGACCTGTCAATCAGCGTGTAGTTCCGCCTTAAAGCATCCCCTCTTTATGGTCTGTTTGACTACATGGACCATAATTTACTAAATGAACATCATGCTGTGTTGAAGAAGGCTTGAAACTAGAGATTGAGACCATAAACGCATGTTTACAATGTTTACTGAGGAAATAAATCAAGAAAGAAGAAGAGTCATATTCTCATAGACTTCTATGGGACCAAAGGAGTCGCTCCCCAAAATAACCCCTCATCTGCCCCCCAGAGCGCAGCCCGACTTGGATCTGCAGCGGCCGTTTAGTCTGTGGCTCGTCTTTAATCTCCGACGTTCTCTGTTGCTGCGCGGCCTCCGCGTACCGAGGGGAAGGTTTGCTCCGTCTTGGTCCTGTTTGCATGTGCGGTGAAGCTGCAGCGGCTTCAAAGAGCAGGAGAGAGAAGCCTCCGGGTCCTTCTTTTGTCAGCCGGTCTCTCTTTTGTCGAGTCGGCACAAAGGCGCCGATCTGCCGCCTCAGGTGGGCCGCGGCTGACGTGACTGAAACAGAGGAATCACAATGCAGGTGGAGGAGGGCGGTGGTGGAGGAGCACCCACCGTGGCGGGTTGACGTCACTTAGGTTCTGAAGGCCAGAAGCCGGAAGAACAAAGTCTGAGGCTTGGTTCTCTCGGATGAGGATCTCTGTCCTGATGCTCGGTGCTTCTGCTGATTTTCACCTGCTCTTCGAGTTGGCACGAGAACCGTCTGATTCATCCCAAAGTTTACCGTTATCCACCAATGGGATTGGAACTGTAGATTGCATCGCCTTTCTTCTCCGTTTGACCTGGAGAACATGGATGTGTTTGGTTTGGCTGGAGACTTCTTTTATTTTATCCATCTTTGCTTGATCTCGGCTCAGATGTTTTAATGAGTGGAGACAGAAGCGGAGATGGAAAGCAGAAGTTGCAAACAGCAGGTTTTAAAAATGTTTGTTATCGTCTCTTAACGTAGACGAGAAGGTAGGTTAGGAAGTTTGGTTGTAAGAGGTGCTTCTATTAGTCAGAGTACTACTACAGTAGATGTGGTACCTAGTTTATATTCAACATTATCCTGTGGAGAAGGTGACCTCTGACCCCTCTAGACATTGAGTCCTGTGGTGTTGGCAGAAGGATCAGGAGACTTTGGTCTCTGAATCCTGCAGACAGAAATGTTGGAATGGGGACCAAATGGAGCGTGGAGGTTGGCGTGTCACCTCCTGTTCATCAGGCTCCTCGGCCTCCTCGGCAGCTGATTGGTCGAGAAGCGTCACATTCACCTCCACTCAAACTACCCCGGCTTAGTCTGTGAACTCCCGGGGAGGACCTCACAGTCTGGATGTTCCAGTCCACTAAAGGTATAAAAGAAAAGACTGAGGCTTCCCATGAACGACTATGCCAATTCATGCAGAGAAATGTATTGTGGGTAAACTGCAAGTCACAGGGGAGCCGATGTGAACGCTGCCCAAATCTGTAGATTCAATATACTTTCGGTGGTATGAGTGTGTTTCTTAGTTTGTTGAGGGTTGGTACGGTATCGATACCTATCAAATCGGATTATATATTTCTTCATGCTGCTTTTTACTTTTTACTGTCATTGAAAGATTTACCGGGTCGGACGACTAGTCAAAAGAGCCGTCGGACAGATTAGACTCCGCCCACACAGCGTCTGCAGGCCACAGATTAGAGCCGGGGGTTTAATCTCCGAGCGGGACAGATTTGTGGTCCGCGGTCCAGATGTTGTTGTTACACATCTGCTGTTTTGTTGAGACTTTAATTTAAAGACTTTCACAGTAATGATGGTAAATAAACATCACTATGTGTGCCGCTCTTCATGAGTTAGCTGATCATTTAACCTCTAGTCGATCGGATTGATTTGGTATTAGCTGCCGTCAGCTGGCTAAAAGACGCTAGCTCCTTCAAACCAAAGTCCTGCCTCTTCCGCGGTGCGTCGCGCCGGTTTATCTTGGCTCTCTGACCTGGTGTCCCGCTAGCTGCTCAATGGCCCCTGACAGGCGGACCCCCGCTCTCCCCCCCACCCCCGTGGCAGCACTCTCTGACAACTGAGCAGCCGAGCGTTCAGTCCAGAAGGGAGAGAGAGAGAGAGAATGCTCTCAGACGGCACTTGTATCTTCATCAATGAAAAGAAATGCTCAAAATGTTATTGACGTTAGGAGGTAGAGAGCAGCACGTTAGTGTGACCCCGAAGACCCGGGACCCAGGAGACCAAAGTTTATGTCCCGTGTGACACCAGAAGTCACACCTAATCAACGCCGTCTCCTTAGTTATTTTAACATCTTTAAATGAACCGTATTATGCAGCCACAGGTAAAAACATTTTTCTAAGATAAAAGCGTTATATAAAATATAAAGTATTCAATATATATTCAGTATATCAGTCTTAAAAGTTGAACCCTCTGAAGTCGCCTCCTCTCAAGTTTGTTTTTACAATTTTCTAATATTTGCAGATAAATCGATCCGTCAGCTAAACTGTGAAATTATTCAAAGTCCATGTGTAGAATTGCGAGTGTCAGGTCGTGTTCTGCAGACGTCTACTCACTGGACTACCAACGTGGATGAACGCACACACACACACACACACACACACACTAACTCACTTTCAAATGCACATGCATGAGTCTGTTTTCAGTAAACACACGCACAAATAGACACACACCGCTCACCATCTGCTTCAGCCTCCAAACAGAGAAAGAAGACAGAAACCTTCTGCTTCTTCTGCAGCGTTTCACACGAGAGAAGAAGAAGTAAAGCTTGTCCTCTTCTTCTGGAGACGAGGTCCTCGTGGACAGACACAATCCCTCGTCAACCGCTTCTCGTCCTCGTCCTCGTCCTCTCCGTCCTCATTGCTGCTCTCTCAGCTGCCTCTGATCGCCTCTGAGCTGCTGAGAGGGAGGGAGAGGGAGGGGTGGGGTGCTAATGGTGTGTGTGAGTGTGTGTGTCTGTGTGTGTGTGCATTAAATGTTGCAGCTGCAGGCTGAGCTCTGAATGAATGGAGGGGAGAGAGAGGGGGAGTAATGGAGAGAGAGAGAGGGAGAGAGAGAGAGAAATGAAGCCAACCAACACTCAAGCCACACAAGACAGTAAAAGCTCCGTCCTCATTGACCTCCATGTTAAAGTGACCAACGTATTTACAGCAAACATCTCCGCTCATCAGTGTACGGGGAGGGGGGGGGGGGGGGGGTCTTTACCTCAATTTAAGGGGCAACGTGTGCACAATTGGGGGTGTGGCCTCCTTGAGTGACAGTTGGGCCATGCACCTCTTTCCCCTCATTGGCAAAGTACCAGTTCTCGCCCTTTTGTTTTCAGAATCAGAGCCATTTGAAAAATGTAACTTTGGTTGTTTTACGGCCGTTAATTGTCAATAGTAACTGCAAAAACTTTATTTGACTCCCTATTTTGGTTTTGTGATGGTTGATGGTCTGATGTTGATGATGTTCATTTCGTAAATTGTGGTCCATTTAGAGTCAAACAGAACTCAAAGCAGGGGATGCTTTAGGGCGGGGCTACATGCTGATTGACAGCTTGTAACATTGGCGTCTTTACGTCCTCCTCAGTCCATATATGGTCACTTCCTCTTCACTGGTTGCAGAACTCTAACTGTTAGATAACGCACAAAACGCTGACTCATATCTACAAAATTTTGAGGTGAGTGTTGCAAAAAAAAGAAACTGAGTATCAAAAATGAAAGTAAACATCAAAAAGATCTATACACCTGTGAAGAAAAATCTGCATATGAAACCAGAGTTATGAAGAGAAAGGAGTGTAATGTCTCATGACACTTTAACGCTCTCAGCTTAGAGGTTTTCATTCAACAATCACCAACGATCAACAGCCCCAAAAGTAATAAGAAAAGCAGATTGAGTCGTGTGGGACGCGTTCTGTATGCAGACTGCAGCAGAACTGGGGCAGGCTGCAGTGCTGAAGGGCGCCGATGAGGTGAGGAGGGAGAGGGGGGGGGGGGGCAAAGCTGCAGGCAACTGAGTCTGCACAGAGGCATGTTTAAAGAAGAAGAGGAAGGAGCTTAAAGAAGCCAGAGGTCAACATCCTGCTGATCCAGGATCAGGAGAGTCCTCCATCAGCTTGACTTCTTCCACACAGGATATGACAAAGGCTTTGTTTACGTGTAAAACAGAATAGTGATAAACTGGATGCCGAATTACTGAATATTGATAAACGGTGATTCGTTTAGCTGATATTTAACTCTTTGATAACCTCCCTCTTAGTTTTAAGTTAACTCCAGTTTGTTCTTTTATTGTGAAAATCTTGAGGCTGAAACAGGAAGCTGTTTCCTGCTCATTTCTTCTGTTTTGTTCAGAGAATCGTTGTCTCCTGCATTTGAACCACTGAACAGCGGTTTTATCCATTAAAAAATACACTTTCTACTAAATAAAATGATCACTCTGACTGTAAGAAGTGGAGCTGTGTTAAATATGTGTATTTATTACCATAATTCTGTTGAGAGGCTCCTGTTTATGACCTCACAACCTCATTGTGCTGTTACGCTAAAGGTATATTTATTATACAATGTATTTAATGTATGTTGATTTACATCTATAGATTAATATATCTATAGGTTCAAATATCTATAGGTTAATGGTCTATATAAGGTATTATAATGATCTAAAGGTTGATTTATATGTTAATGTACAAACACACACACACTCACACACACACGCCATGTTGACATCCCTTCATTAGCCACAGCACACGACAGAGGTGAACCGGGGTTGAATTGATTTCCTGTTCTCCTCTTCCTCGTCCTTTTGCCTTTAATGTGTATCGTTTGCGTATCGTGTGTGTGTTTGTCTGTGTGTGTTTGTGTGTGTGTGTGTGTGAATGTGTTTATGTTTTCTATTTTTAGCCATCGGGCTGCAGATGTCCTTGGATATGCTGGAGAAGATGTTCTGGGCCATCGCCAAGCAGGTGAGCAGAGGACTGTCTATTATCATCTGACTGATAATAGACAGTTTCACCTTTCACCTCAACGCCGACAGTCATCATCGCTGTAAACTTTGCACACATTCTCTGTAGTGACCACCAGGGGGCGACTCCTCTGTTCCCATAGAAGTTTATGAGAAAATGACTACTTCTCTCTTGATTTATTCAGTAAACATTGTACACATGAGTTTATGGTCTCAATCTCTAGTTTCAAGTCTTCCTTAATACAGCATGATATTTATTTAGTGAATTATGAGCCATTTAGAGTTTAGAACAGCCCATAAAGCAGGGGATGCTTTAGGGCGGGGCTACACACTGATTGACAGGTCTCTTACAGAGACATAAATGGCGTCTCTACGTACACCTCAGTCCAGATGAGGTTACCTCCTGTTCACTGGTTGCAAAAAACGAGATGGTGAGTTCCTCCTGCAGCCAAACAGAACTCCCTGGTTGTGATCAGCACCACTAATCAATAACGTGATCGGCCCCTCTGACCTCTAAAGGACGTCTGCAGCTCTTCTTCTGCTTCACTGAGCTGCAGACGTTCACTCAGTCAGACCACAGAGAGAGTTTGTCTGTGTGTGTGTGTGTGTGTGTGTGTGTGTGTGTGTGTGTGTGTGTGTGTGTGTGTGTGTGTGTGTGTGTGTGTGTGTGTGTGTGTGTGTGTGTCTTACTTGAGTAACACAATAGAGACCCTTGGATCTGATCCTATGAGCAGAGAGCAGAATGAGGAGCTTTACTTGGTCTCCAAGACTCACTTAGCTGTTCTTTCTTCTTATTCCTCTTTAATGTCAATTAATGCGCATAATTAACTTTGCTCCCTGACAAATTAATTAAATGACCTCTGACCCCAGAGGATTTTTACGGGACAGAAGTGCGCTCATAGTTTTGTATTGTTGGACTTTAATCTTCTTGGAGGACTTTACTTTTACATTCTTAGATGTTCTCTAAGAGGAGGGGCAGGCCATGATGGCGTCACTGGTCTATCTGTCGGTACTTAGCCCGCCGGGTTTTTTTAGCGACCAGTGAACAGGAAGTGAGAAAATAGTGACTGAGGAGGATGTAAAGATGGCGCATAAGTCTCTGGAAGAGACCTGTCAATCAGCGTGTAGCCCCGCCCTAAAGCATCACCTGCTTTGTGGTCTATTAGAGACCTGTCAATCAGCGTGTAGTCCCGCCCTAAAGCATCGCCTGCTTTATTGTTATTTTACTTTACAGAACCAGAGGCTGCTGTTAAGTAACAAAACATCTGGAAAGCCAACTTGTTACAACCTCTGTTAGGGTCTTTCACGTCATGTTTCGTTGCTGTGATTTGCGACATTTCTTTTCATTGCCTGGGGAGCAATATTTTAACAAAGGGAAGTTTTGTCTTTTATTCATTTGTTCAATATTTTATAAACATTTATTTTAACTTGTAGTTTTATACTATGTCATTTATTTTTTCTTCCTCCTCGTCTTCCTCGACTCCTGCCGTGTTGCTTCCAGCCCAGCGACACCGACGTGAGTAAACGCTGCTTTTTAATTGTTGATTTCAGAGTCATTCGGCTGTGTTTTAACATCGAGGCACAATATTCTCTTCCATCACATCCTGGTTACTTCAGCTGAAGATGAACTTAAATTCATTGCTGGAGACGTTTCTATAGCAACCATTCAATATTCCACTGTCCCTCACTTAAGTCACAGATATCAATCAGTTAGAAATCTTTTCCTGGAGTACTTCTGGTTGTGTGTTCGGACCGTTAAGCCTCTGTTCTTTGTAGTGTTTGTGGTGGCCTTTGACCTTCACACCTTCCCTCCCCCTCAGTGTTCTGCCATTGAAGGCGTGTGTCCTCTCAGCTGTGAGAGCTCTGTAAGTAATCCCTCTCCTAAGCATTGCTTCTTTTATTGTGAAAAGCACCAAACACACACACTTCCTCCTCTTTCCTCCTGATTCCTGCTCAGGATCTCAACTGTTTCCTGGTGGACAACAACGGCTTTGTCCTGCTGTCCAAAGAGAGGAGTGAGGTGAGGACAGCAATTTTGTATACATATATTATATATATATATATAGATTAACATAAACATGTTAATCTATGCGATTAATGTGAGATTAATGCGACAAAATAGTTTAACGTAGTTAACGTACCTTTGTTTACTTCCGGTTTACTTGCAGAAGCTAGCTGCTTGGTTGCCTCCATTGTCTTTAAAAGAAAAACAAACATTCATTATAAACAAAATTGTAACAACAATATTCATTAATTGCTATTAATCAAGATGAATGAATTTCAAAATGTTTTTTATCTATTGACAGCCCTAATATAATATAATAATTATTTGTAAATCATAGGGTCAGTCGCTGGCAGTACATATGATTTCAAATTGATCTGCTCTGAGAGGCAAATGGTTTCTTTACGATTTGTACGTGTATTTAAATCTAAAAGTCTGCTTTGTGAAACGTGAAGTTCTTTAATTCCTTTGTGAGTCGGGCAGAAGACCTCTGTGTGTCGGCAGGAGGCTCAGCACCTGATGACATCATCGGACTGTTGACGAGGCGTAAACGGAGCAACATCTGGCAGATTTATCCACCTGAAAAGTTTCCCACATTTATTTAACCCCAAATCCACACAAATTAGATGGATCCGACTTAATGTTGTGATCCTTTCTTCTTTTTGTCCCATATTCATGATTAAGTAGTAATCATAATTATAAATAAATAAATAATGAGTTATTATGAAAAATTATAAAAATACAATTATATAATTTTGACTTTTTTAACTTCACTAAAATGTATTAGAATAATTTAGCCTGATTGGGCTACGATGTCCTTCTGAGGACGTTCTAAAGTGTCTCTGACGAGCAGCTTGTTGTCCATCTGACAACTCGGGATTAACTGGGATGATTAGTGAGGATTAACGTAATGTGATGCCACACACATCTCACTTTACCTCCGTATATTCCATCGCTCTCTGCATCTTCGGCTCGCCGTTCACCCGGGCTCGACCCTTCGGCCGTGACCTCGAGGCCTCCAGCTGTGCGCCAGCTGTGCCGCTCGGAGGATCTGTTAGTCTGCCGGGCTCAGAGGAAGCACTCGGCTGCTTCTCTTACGTAACGAGGCAAAGCGCTTCGTTGTGTTTGTGGATCTGAGACCTTTTGAAAAGCTCCTCCTCTTCTTCTTCTTCTTCCTCTTCCTCTTCTTCGTCATTCACCTCGATGTATTACTTTGAAATTACTAACATGCTAACGTTAGCATGTTAGCGTGCAGTGTGCGTGATCTCCCACTGGGAGCAGCTTGCCCCTTGTTGCGGCTCCCTGAAGCCGCTGACCTCCTGCAGGTGTATTTTTTTTTATTCCCAGCCGTCAGGTTTCATCGCTCCTCAAACTCCTCGGAGGGCGGAGCGCTTAAGCAGCGACAAAGCGCTGTGGACCCCAGTGGACTGGTGGTGGATCTCACAGGGACACTTCAGGCTCATTCGGCCTCCGTCTTTACCGGATACGTTTGCCAGAGCAGTTTTTCTTTCTGCTGATTCATGCAGCGAAATAGTTTCTCTACACATTCCTCTCACTTTACTCCGCAAACCAAACATTGTGATTTACAGATGGATGATGAGTGAACAATTCTGTGTCTTTATTACACTGTTCCTCTGTGAGGACCAAAAGAATGAGGCTGTCACTTTGTGTCATCAATGCAGTCGCACGCTCACTCCTTCACAAACTCATGCTTTTGTTCCTGAATAGTAAACACGGGGACGACACCAGTGCACTTTGTGGTATAAATACACACATTGTGGTATAAATACACATGTGTCTGAGTGCTGAGCTTCGTCTCCTCCAGGTGGGACGCTTCTTCGGCGAGGTGGACGGGTCGGTGATGGCCTCGCTGATCAAGATGGGAATGTTCAAAAAGTACGACGGACAGGAAGTACCGCTGCTTCTTCTTCTCTTGCCTTTAGTGGCGGCACCGATCCATTTGTCACTAGAGCGCTTTAGTGCTTTATCGATGTTGTTTGGTCCATTTTACAAAGACAACTTCATTTACTACTTTTACTATTTACGTAACGAAAGTGTTTGTTGATGTTGTTTGTTGACGTGGGTGTTTGTGAACGTAGTTTGTTGACGTTGTTTGTTTGTTCGCAGAGTGTCGTTGTTCGACTACCAGGCCATGTGTAAGACTTCTCATCATCACGCCAGCAGCGCACGCCGCCTCCTCAGTGTGAGTAACACACTTGTAATTATTATTTAGTATTACTTATTACCGCTAAAAACCAGACGACTCAGATGTTTTTTACTTTCCTCTTGCAGCCGTTTTATGGCGTCGCTGCGTTGATTCGATGGTTCTTCTCCAACCTGCTGATGTGAGTCAGTGACCTCTCATCTTCTTTTACTTCATTGACACCTGTGAATATTTCTTATCTTCATTTGTATATTTGAATTAACTTTATTAATAAAGTCTCTCTGCTCAGGTTCCTGTTGGACTTCAACCTCTGTGGTCTCTGGCACTCCGACTACTTCGTGGACGGTGAGACGGTAGAAATACCACAGCGTAGAAATATCACAGCATAGAAATACCACAGATTGGGTGCGTTTGTTTTATTCACCTCACCACGGCTTCCTGTCTTATTCACAAACATTCTGTCTGAAACGCCGGCCTCATCTTCATCGTCCTCTCCATCCTCATCCTTACCTGGGTGTGTCATCTGTGCCGTCATGCCGATCCATCATCTTCATCCATTCAGCCAAGGCCGGCTATCACACCAGTGAGTCCCGTGTGTGTGTGTGTGTTGGGACAGAGGAGACGTCCTCGCAGAGACACAAAGACTGAGGGCCGTGTTTGTGTGTCACTTTCTCTCTGTCTCCTTGTCTTAGGCCACAAGCAGAAGAAGGTGGGCGCTCTGCAGCCGTGTGACACGGCGTATCCCGGCTTCATGTACGACTCGTCTGTGAAGGAAGCCAACAGCCTCATCAAGTGTGGACGCTGCCAGAAGTACGACTCACGCACACACTACTACGACGCATACACACACACATACACACACACACACACACACACTCATAACCAGAAGAAGTATTCGGATACTTTGCTACATAAATACATTTATTTATTTACTGGTTATAACTGTTTGAGGTATTGATCGATGGGTTGCAGGATGTTCGTGGTGCAGCAGATCCCCGACAGCAACCTGGTGATGGTCGTCGCTCAGGCCGACTGCGACTGCTCCCGTCAGTACGGCGCCATCCCGCTGGAGCCAAAAGAGATCAAATATATCCTTCTGTGAGGTCACTGAGGTCACTACGGGGTCACAGCTTCACACAGTTTGCAGTAATTGTAAGGAGGATTTATTTGTTTTGTATGATTAAAGAAAATAGAGATCTACAAAGTTAGCGTAGCTTAGCTGCAATCGATCCAGACTCCATTAAAAAAAACTATCTTTTTAAAAGTTGTTTCCATGTCGTCTTGGGAGACAAGTTTCAAAATATATATTCTGACTTTTGACAAATCTGCTTCATTATGTAGTTATTTGTGCTTTCCTTTTGTCTGGTTATTGGTATTAAATCACAGCATAATAGTTTATTCGTTCAAGTAGCTGCAATAAAGCAGTGAAAAAAGCTTCCTGATGAGTACTGTCATGTCCACTGTTATGAGTACTGTTATAAGTAATGTTATGATACGGTTATCAGTACTTTTACGTGTACTGTTATGAGTAATGTTATGATACTGATATAAGTACGTTAAAAAGTTTTGATACTTCATTTTTTGTCCTTAACGTGGGAGAACATAACGCCACGGTGAAGTGCAACCGGATGAAGTCCCAGAAGGTGCGGCGGCGCCCGCAGTCGTGCCACGACTACCACCCGAAGGTGAGTGTTAATACGAGATACTAAGTGTTGTATAACATTTATATCATCATTATAATGTACTAATGGTATATTTTAGTGTATTCAAACGTAGTATTACCACACCCACACTTCAAGAATACTGATACATAAATACTTGTACAACAGTAATCATGTTGTTTCTTGTTGCCTCTTCTGCAGGAAAATGCAAAAGAATGCGGTGGCGTGGCAGCCATCTTGTTGTCGCGGTCAGTCTTCTCCGCCTCTCTGCTCGCCTCGTTGCTCGCCCACCATTGGATGTGAAGAACGGACCAATTAAGGGAGGTGGCGGGAGAAGAGACCAAAAAAAAAAAACTCTAGCAAGTCGCCAAAGGATTTTTTGTTTTTTACTTCCCATAAGAGACAACAGAAGATCTGAGACGATGTCCCAGTGGGCGGAGTTAAAACGACCAATGGGCATGGTCAAGGCCAGTGGGTGGAGTTAAATTACTATAACCTATTTCTGTCCGTTGGACTCGTCCCTCTGGACGTACCGAGCAGCTTGAGAGGAGACACGTTGCATCTTTGTAGCTTTTTTATACTGGAATATTGTTTACAAAGTAGAGTTTTACATCTAAATCATTTACAATTAAATAAAGTAGGATCGAAAATAAAGGCATGAGATTTAGAGTTGCTTCATCGTTTCACATTCAGACTGAGCACAAACCATAAATCCAGGACTGAGATATGAATGATCTCTACTCAAAGCGGCTGAAGCACTGCGTGAGGTCAAAGGTCAATAGAAGGTCACTGGCTGAATGTCATTTGACCAGTTACTCCTTTAGACGCTCACACATGGGGACTTATTGAGTTGATCACTTTCACGCTTTAGTTTGGTTTTCTGTAGATGAAAAAAATGATTCCACTTTCTAAATACAAATTGCGCATTGTTACAAAAACGTTTGTTAAAAAGCATTTGTGATTTACTTATTCTCAATGTTTCTCAGATCTGAGAGCAGTTTGTTGGTGAAATAAATATTTCTATTAACGTTTCTACTTTTTATCTTTGAGATTCAGGAAACACCGAGAGCCGCCAAACAATTCATAATTCTTTCCTTAGCGTTTATTATTTAGTTCCTTTAATCTCTACAGCAGTTTATCATCAAACATGCATCTGAAACAGTGCGCATTCATATTTTGATAAAGGATCTTTATTTAGCTCTTTGTTTCATGACTTCACATCAGCCGCTTTAATACATGTATTACTTTAGCTAAAGTTCAAGTGTGAGGTATAACCTTTTTATTTGATTAAGTGCTTTTTAAAAAAAAATAATCAGATGATATAATTGACTTAATGGACGCAGCATTGATATATCAAACTAATATGTCAATAGTGACAACGGGGTCAAAATAAATTTCCCTGTTATACATTTGTGATCTTAGATTCACAGAAATCTGTGTGCAAAATATTAAACTAGCTGCGTCCTGCACATTAAACATTTAATGTCATAATTCATGCAGCACAGCTTGTATTTAAACGTCTTAATGTTTCAGAAAGCAGCTTAAAAACGGACCAAACATTAAGTGTATATTACAAAAGACAATTTACTTTTATTTGAGAGATTTCCATTGAAGCAGAATGTCGCCAAATAGAAAGTTTGTAATATTTAAAATAACCACAATAATCGGTCTGATCATCTCGTTTGTTCTTTTCTTCGGAGACTATTTAAAACTGAACATTTCTCCTTTAAAATTAGCAGAAACCTTTCAGGAAGAACTCAAATAGTCATAGTTGGTGTTTCGATCTTTACAATCAAAAGGAACTCAAACAGAAGGTCGCTGCGGATTTATCATTCACAAGTTCAATGTCGTAAAAAAAAAAAAAAAAAAAAACATTTCACACCAATCCTGAAAATATTCAAACCTGTAAAATATTCTACATTTTTCTGCAGGAAAGCTCTCGTCAGCCGGGGAGTAAAACTCTTTATGCAATAAATACAAATAATGAGCATCATTTACACTAAAAACCATCTCCTGGATCCTCAATCCGAGTCACTTCCTGTCTGATCCTCCGAGAAAATAAAAAGCCTACATCTGACCTGCTGGCCACTTGATTGATTCAAGGACTTTAATGAATCATCTGTTTGACTGACTTTCCCTCCTCCGCTGGCAGATGAACCGAATAAATCCCTGTTGACCTTTGAGAGAAGTCAGCTGCCTGTTGTTCTTACAGCTGGGATGGAAGAGTTTGTTTCTTCTGACTTTCTTTCCCACCTTTACACCACCTGCTGTTTGTTCTGAGGGGGGCCAGTGGTCTCCTCGCTGCCTCCTCCTGCCTCCTCCGCCTCCTCCCCTCTCTCCTTGTTCCAGTCCCGGAGACCCTCGGGAAGGCTGGTGTCCTCCTCGAAGCTCCCCGTCCCCTCAACAAACTCCTCGTAGGTGGACTTCTCCTCGAAGGGCCGCGGGCCGAGCAGCTCCAGCATGTCTGCCTTGTCCAGCACCTCCTTGTCCAGGAGGCGCTTCCCCACCTGAGGAGCAGAGAGGAGGTCAGCGAGAGCTCCCCCCACAAATACCCTCACGAAGTCCTTCAAAACAGAATCATCCGAGAAGCCACAGGAACTCATCCGCAGTCGAATAGACAGATTATTCACATGTTTGTGTCGTGTCTTTATCTTTCTGTACAGTAGATGAAATTCTAACGATCCTCCTCTTTAGTGACGGGAATTTACAATTTTTATGCAATGTTATTTTCCTAAAAATTGTATTTCTCCAGTTATGTTTTTTGATTTGTTGCCACGAGGTTCATGAAGACGCCTCAATGACAGTCCTTATAGAGTTGAATAGCTCATTTAGTGAGACTCTTTGGTGGAGTTTCAAGGCGCTCGTGATACATCATCAGGAGGTCTCGAGCCTCACCAGCTCCACCAGCTCCTTCTTCTCCTGGATGAGCTCCAGCGTCCGCTGGTACGCCCGGTCCACCAGCGCTCGAACCTCTGAGTCGATGAGCTCGGCCGTGGCCTCGCTGTACGGCTTCTCCAGGACCATCTCACCCTGCCGCGGCAGGTCGAAGGACACCTGACCCACTCTGTCGCTCATCCCGAACTGGACCACCTGAGGGGCAGGACAGGGTTACATCACACTAATAAGACCTCCAGGCACACAAGGCTTCAGGTACCAAAACGTGTCGCGTGACTGCTGGCGAGTGTAAACCGGAAGTAGAACAATGACAAGTCCCCCTCAAAGCCAGACGAAACGACGAGTTCATGCAGCCGTGCATGCACATACCTGCGCGTAGGCGGACTGCGTGACCTTCTTCAGGTCGTCCTGAGCGCCGGTGGTGATCCGCTCAAAGAAGACTTGCTCAGCCACGCGGCCCCCCAGCATCATGCACATCCGGTCGAACAGCTGCTCCTTGCTGTACAGGTACTGCTCCCTGGGGAGGTACTGAGCGTAGCCCAGCCCCTTCCCCCGGGGTATGATGGACACCTGGGGTGGGGGGCAGCACACGTTACGTCCAGTAATTTAGTACTTATTCCTTTTAGGCAGACCACCATTTTAACGGCGTGAGACAGATTCCCTCAGAATCAAAGGTCACCTTCAGCAGCGGGTCGGCGTGCTGCAGGAACCAGCCCACGATGGCGTGCCCCGCCTCGTGATACGCAACGGTCTTCTTCTCGCCGGGCTGCAGCACCTGAGTCTTCTTCTCCAGACCTGGAGACGCAAACAGAGCCAATGTTGTTGTGGTTTGTTGTTGTTGACAAACACTCTGCAGCGCAGCGATGGCTGACCTCCGATCACACGGTCGATCGCCTGCTCGAAGTGCTTCCCGTTGACCGAGGCGTTGAGGTGGCGAGCGGCGATGAGCGCCGCCTCGTTGCAGACATTAGCGATGTCGGCTCCTGGAGGCGAAGCACGAGAGATATAAAAATAACACTTTTCGCTCACTCTCATTTGTGTTTATTTAAGAAGACCTTCCCACGCTATCAACAATAATATTATCAAACCCAACTAATGTGAAGCATCGAATACAAATTTCCCTCTTTATCGCTTTGCACAAAAGAATCAAACACTTTAAACTGGAAAACAAGTGACACAAAATGCTGATTGTAATGTTTAATATGCTTTTAGATGATATCCTCGTTTCAATTAATCCAATTTAAAAAAAAAAAAAAAAGGTAGTTTTCCATTTCAATACATTAGCTTCCACGCAGGGCGCGAAACTGAAAAATAATTTAATGCTTTGTTTCACAAACGTAACGCACATTAAGAGATTTATCTTTGGAATAAATATTTATAGGGACACTTTTCGGAACGTCTTTGCATCTCTATGCGACACTATTCTCAAAGTAAACAGATTACTTAAATATACATTTTAAAAGTGCATCAAAGCCTCGCCGACGTACCGGTGAAGCCCGGCGTGGCGGCGGCCATCTTCCTGGCGAGGTGGTCTTTGTCCATGTTGGGGTCCAGCTTGATGGGACGCAGGTGGACCTTAAAGATTGAGGCTCTGCCTTTGATGTCCGGAGGACCTGCATTAAAGAAAATAAGTGTCACTTTTAAACCCACTTGTTTATTTACATGTTGGGAGGAGAAGAGGCTCCATCTCGGGGTTTTCTAACAAGGATTAAGGATCAGAATAAACGTTTACGTTGAGGAAATATTAATAAAGTGAGACTTGTGATCTGGTTTTATATTCTATTTATTGTCAAAACTCACTTAGTCTTATTGGTGCTTAAAGTACATTTAATGTCTCTTTATACAAATGTTTTAATTGTTATAACTATTTTGATAACCATTAAAATGGTTTTCTGCTTTTCTTTTTAATTACTGATGAACTTAACTTTTGAAATAAACTTGACATGAAAAACAAAGACATTTTATAAGGATGGAGCTGAGGTAAAGGAGTTAGACCAATCAGCAATCAGCGTTGGACCATACCGATGTAGATCTGTCGGTCGAAGCGACCCGGTCTCATCAGTGCCGGGTCCAGGATGTCGGGCCTGTTGGTTCCGGCTAAAACCACCACGTTCGTTGCAGTGTTGAAACCTAAAAGGTAAAAGTAACAGAAGCATTGATGAGCGAGAAGATGGTTTGAAATGAGGGCCCCCGGGGGCGGCGCTTCTTCTCACCGTCCATCTCCACAAGCAGCTGGTTCAGCGTGTTCTCCTGCTCACTCTGACCGCCGAAGTTCCCGCCGCCCCTCTTCCTGCCCACGGCGTCGATCTCATCGATGAAGAGGATGCAGGGGGCGTTCTTCCTCGCCATGGCAAACATGTCCCTCACCTGTGGGGGAAGGTGTCAACGAGGGCTCATCACATCTACCGTCTACGCATCAAACATTTGGGTAAATGTCAACAAGTGATGCCAATGTTAAATAAAAATGACACTTTATATTCATTCAAATATTCACATATCAACCTCTCTGCCGAGTTTACAAGTTTATGGTCACATGACTGTTGGTCTCAGAATCAGGGGGAGATTTCATCAAAGCCGGTTTATTCTATAATTTAAGTTCACATCACTCATGACGTCCACTTTAATTGTCCGTTTGCAAAAGCTTGCATATCCCAAACTGATCATTTGTGGAATTTCCAGGGTTTTTTTCGGCAATCGCCACCAAGCTAAAAGCTGAAATGTCAACCAACGGTCACGCAAAATCTAACTTGTTCCTTTGAGTGATGCGCAGTGATATGGAACGCTCGCTGAATAACTCACACCCCGTGACTCACTCTAAACCAATGAAAACGCTGGATCTACCCGTATTATTTAACATATATACATGTACATATACAGAACAGATCTCCTCTCACCCTGGCAGGGCCGACTCCCACAAACATCTCCAGGAACTCGGAGCCGTTGACTGTGATGAACGGGACGTTAGCCTCTCCGGCAGTGGCTTTGGCGAGCAGCGTCTTCCCAGTCCCGGGGGGCCCCGACAGCACGGCCCCCTGGGGGGGGGGGGGTGAGACAAAGGGGCACATTCAGAACGCAGTGGTCAAAAGCCGCTTAATGGTGATGAAGTTCACCGATAACGTTGGTTGCATGTGCGTGTGTTTGCACCTTGGGGATCTTGGCCCCCAGGTCCTGGTACTGCTTTGGGTTCTTAAGGAAGTTGACAAACTCCAGGATCTCCAGCTTGGCCTCCTCGCAGCCGGCCACGTCCTTGAACTTCACATCAATGTTGTCCTTCATCATCTTGGCGGTAGACTCGCTCATGCTGAAAGGCCCCCCCTTCCCGCCGCCGGGGCCCCCGCCCATCGGCCCCCGCCGCAGGGTGAAGAGCAGGAAGCCAATGAGCAGCACGGTGGGAATCATGCTCATCAGGAAAGAGCTGGGATTAAAGATGATTAAAAATTACAATTAAAAAAAAAAAAGAAAAAAAGAAGAAGGACAAAAGAGCGAGGTCAGAAAGGTTGCCACGGCGGTTTAACACGCACCCGTCGCTCTCTGTGCTGTAAACGACGGCGGGGCGGCGCGACGGCTCCAATCCGAGCTCCATTGTCGCCACCTCCAGGTTCCTCTCGAAGGTGTCGACGCTGCCGATGTTGAACCAAGCGTAGTTCTGCTCCACGAACCGGTGAGAGGAATCCATTAAAAACAAAGCAAGCCTGAGACATGTTCACATCCTACTGAAGCCTTGTGATACCGATGCCAGCTACCAGGGGCAGAAGTTCTGTTTCTCATCATAGAAATACAGCGATAGGAAAGGAAAGCTTTAAGGATAGGAACATGAGATAATGCACACCGCAAATACAAGATCAGGGTTAAGGAATTATATATTAAATGTACCACGGTTCATTTCTTAGAATTCTATTGAAAAACTTCTTACATAATCAAGAAAAAGAACTTAAAGATCTTTCGATGATCAGCATCGACTGAATAAGCTGAGTAACAGAGTTCAAATAAAAACAATATTTGTCTTTAGCTTAAAAGGACTTTATTCTCATAATTAGTTCATTTTGTAAAAAGTAAATAAACATGTTTAATAAATCGTGTCTTTTTGGGAGGAATTTGTGATAATTTATTCACATTGTTTAACTCACGATTTAAACACATGGAGGCACCTCTTTATTTATTATTGTTTATGTTTGGCAGAAGAGTAACACAAACATGAAAAGTGAGCTTGAGTGTCAGCTCCAGTTCGCGCTCACCGTGTCGGCGTCGGCCCCCGGCACCAAGATGACTCGGACGTACTGCTTGTTAACGACTTCCAGCCGCTCCACCTGCACACAGAAGTACATCCATGACGTACTTTATTCTAACCAAAGTGGTTTCTTCGGCCGTCTGTGATGTGACGTCCGCAGTCAGTAGGACGGGCGTCCCATCGTCCTCACCATTCCTCTGCTCACGTAGCCGTGCACAAACTCCTTCCAGCTGATCTCCCGGCCGGTGTCTCTGAAGTAGAGGAACAGCAGAACCGAACCGACTCCGGCCGCCGCGATGGCCAGGTACCGGAAGTCCTTCTCGTCCCAGGGGAAGTCTCCCTGGAGAGAGCAGAGACATACGACATCAAGACACAGCGAGGCACTGGACAACGCGAGCGAGCGGGGAAGTCACTTCAGTAAACGAAATGAGCGCCGTGAGCAGATTTAAAGCAGTGAAGTTCAGGACTGCAACAAACCGCATTTATTAACTTAACTTAAGGATCACACATCCACAAACTTCTGAATTAGAATGTTTTGCTCAAATGCATCTGAATGAGTCAGAATTCTACAGGATGTGAATTAGGATTCCAACAGGAAGTTACAAACCTTTTGCATTCGGCTCCACCAGTCTTTTCCACCTCTCTTCCCACCTCCTGAAGCTCCGCCTCCTTTGCCATCTGGAACTCACATGCGTCAGTCACACAAACCTACTAGCATTTTCTAATATCAGTTTTCATCCGAAGGTATTGTTTCTGGTATCAATTCAGAAGATTACGTGCAGCCGCTCTTTATTGGCTTTTATAAAACAATAAGACAACTACAAATGGTTCCTTAGATTACTTCATTCGTTTTCTGCTGTCATGAATAAACTCAATTTAAAAATATTAAACCGCGATTAATGAACTAAAAACGAGCAGCCGACCCTCAAACAGCCGATCTCACCTTTCGGTTCAGCAGAGAAGAGTCGCCGCTGAAATGACTGAAACAGACGACCGGTCAGAAGGTTCGATGGAGTCCGAGAGACGTTCTGGAAATAAAGAAAAATACAATAGCGGCCGGAGAGCCATGAAAAAACTAAAAGACCTCGACCCTGAAAGGTCATGGTTATACAAAGAGTATCCTGGAATGAATCAGATGGGGGGGAACTTTGTGCACATCGACTCGACCGGATCTTTAGATTTAATCACCACAAGGACAAATGTTTGTTGACAACAACCAGGTTCACATTTATTATCCCAGTCCATTCTTCCCGCTTTGATGACATTATTTTCCTGATCAACAAAAGTCACAACATGTCAGATAACATAGATGGATTAAAACCGTCCCAGTTTCAGAGACCAAACGTCTCCGATCCACAGTTGTGTGTGTAGAGAGAGAGAGAGAGAGAGATATTTATATTTCTTCTTTAGAGAGAATAGAATTGACCAGATGGTTACGCGTTTTAAGATTTAGAAACTGACAGTTCTTTACAAATAGTGCTGGCTGACCTCCCAGTCCCTCCCATTAAAACCATTAAACACATTAAACACATTAAAACCTCCCAGTGGTTTTAAAAGGATGAACCCTGGTTGAAGGATCGATGGTGATGAAAGACACCTGAACGGGCCTCGGGTAGCTAACCTAGCATTCAGAAGGTTGTTAGCTTGATCTTTAGAGATATTTTAGTGAGTGACGTCATTTATATTACTTGTGGTTAAGTGTTTTTGAAGGCACATAGAACGGGGGACTTCATTATTAGCTTAAATATGACCTTTGCCAGGAGAAATCTAACCAAGTGCGTAGCAACGAGTTGTGGTTAATTACCTAAAGCCATTTTTATCGCGCAAGAGTTGTAGTTTAATGGATCTGACTCAAGCCGAATCAACAAGTAGATTGGAATGTGGGCTATTTCAAGTTGGTTAATATCTAAATAATAGACAATATAAACCAACTCTACAAACTCTGAATGTATTGATTTCCGAAGGGCTAGCTAGTCGGGCTAATGTAGCTACCGTCAACTCTACTTTTAAATACACTTTAAACCCACAAACTAAATACCGTTTTGTTCATTAATAAACTGAGGGGGTTCTTTTAATATATTTTTTTCTTTCTCCAGAAAAGCTCCAACTTCACTCACCGGTGCAGAGGAGCTTCGACATCCGGCGGAGAAGAGCCGTTCTGCGGTCACCGCAGAGAGCCGAGCCCGGGCACCTCCAGGCCGGCAGAGAGGCAAGGCAACCGCCGAGAGCAGCCTCAGCATCTGAGACATCCTCCCCGTGCCAAGTGCCGAATCTGTAGGTCCAAAACTTTACGCCTTTTATCTAAAATCCTGCTCCGAACTTCATCGCATGGAACCAATAAATGTTATTGAATAACTCCGTGAAATGTCAACGAGAGGGTGATGTAAAAGCCTGATGGAGCTGCTCTTTAACTGCCTGCTGGAAACCTTTACAAAAGGGTAATATATGTATTAATTATAAAATGTATTATGGTCATAAAATGGGTGACTATAACAAAAAACGAAACATATAACCAATGTGACATAATTTATTGATTTAATTATCTGTAACATTGCTTAATTACATTCAGGCATCAGAAACGCCAGTACTGGGTCCTCACAGGAAACCTTTTCTCTGATTGGCCGAGAGAAAGAGACGTTAACGCCCACGCTGTCTTCAAGTTTCATGGGACTGTTACCAAACACGGACTGACGGTGCGTTTTTCAATGATCGTTTTATTCCTACTCTTACAAAATGACATACTGTAAAAGTTAGACTAAATACTTAAAATATTAAAAATGTTTTGTTCGTGAGAAGAAATACATGCAATAAAGGGTCAATAAAGCAAAAATAAAGAATTCAAATTAAGAGACTGGACAATCATCACACTTCAACTGTTTTATTAATATTTTTCTGTGCAACCTGCAATTTACAATTATTTTTTATTTAATGCAAGTTATTCTTAATTCTAACTCAAAACTATGAAATGCACGGTACAAACGGTAACGGTAAGTTTTATAGTTAAAAACATCAATCAAAATGCCTCAAAATAAACTCATATTACATAGATTTTTAATTCATTATCAAAGACAATGAAACAGCTGAAACAAATTCAGCAATTTTTTGCCCTGAAAAATCTTAAAATCTTTTAAAAATCGTACTAATACGAAATGAACAATTTAAATTTAGAATCAACCAACGATTTCAGCCTACAGCTGTATACAATATTTGTATGAATACAAAGTATACAGAGGGTACATTCTGAAAAACTATTAAAATAGTCTCAAATGAAGGACATAACTTCCCTCAGCTTCCTGTGTAGATGCTGTAGGAGAACCGAGTCATCAGCAGTGGGAGGTGGATCCTCTGATGATGGTCACTGATGGAAAACACAACCTGGAAACACACAGTAAAATATAAATAATCAATCATCTTCAATTCTTTTTCAAGTGTGTCTGAAAAGAGCCATGGAAATAAATCCTATTGTTATTACTATTTATGTTGATTATTTTATTATGTTCATGTTCACCCCAAAATCAAAGATTGTGTTTTAAATTATGTTTGTACTTCTTCTTAACTCGAGGGTAAAGGATCCACTGTGTTAACCTTCTAAGTAAACGTGATGAGTTCAGGGACTCAGCTCACCTCCACGTAGGGGTGTAAGGATGTCTGGCCGCGGCTCTCCCAGTAGGAGCCCGTCTCAAAGCGCAGCTTGTAAGTTCCAGGGCCCAACTCCTCGCGGGCAGCGAGTCCTGAGCAGCGTCCATCTTCATCCGTGGTCCTACACGTGAAATCTATCTTTAACTCAATAATTGCACCTCTTAATGCAGGGATGAAGTGGTGAAGTTTCATGTTGATATCTAATCTTTAACTCAATAAATGCTCCTTTAATGTAGTGATGAAGTGGTGAAGTTTCATACCCCAGGCTCAGCAGGCTCCAGACCATCAGCGGGGGCTCCAGCCGGTGCAGGCTGAGCGCCACGCGGGCTGCCGGTACGCCGTCCACGCTGTTCATCACGTGAGTGGTCAGGGTGCAGGACTCCATCATCTGACACGGTGGGGACAAGGCGGAGCTTTACCTGGGGGGCCCTTCAGGTTTATCGGCTGGTCTCTGTGGGCGGGGGAGGGGCTTTGAGTGATTGATGCTTCGACATAACAAGTTTCATTTAAAATATTACAACTTTAATCAAAGTGTATCTTATATTCATAAAGTACTTCGTTATCACATTAAATGCAGGATGTCAATCATTTAGGGGCGGGTCTATCGGGAGTAATGGAATTATTCTACAAAAGGAGGTCTTCCTCACAGAGAGCGCCATGTTTGTATATAGCCCTGAGCGGACAAACCAAACTCTAAAAGGAACCTTTGTCTGGCTCAGGCTTCAGTCTGCATTTAAATAAAATACAATAAAATATGATTCATTCACTCATGAAGACCAGTGAGAAAACTTCAGATAACAAAGACATACAAACAGTTTCCGTCTGTCATGTGACGCACAAAAACACTCCTTCCACATAGATGTCATGTTTTCCCACAAAACTTTCCTCAAACATTTTAACTTCTGAATATACTGTGTGTTACATTAAGTTGATGCTTTTCTTCATCGAGGGAAATAAGTTGAAGTGAAGTGATCTACTGTTCAGAATGACATCAGTTAAGGTTATATTTCAATAATTCATAATAATAAACAATCAATAGCAGATTAAAGGACTCATCCATGGTTCATGATATCATCAGGGTATTTTTTAGCAGGCATCATGTGTGTTCCCAGTACAGAACCAGTGAAACATGGATTGAACAGGAAGGAGGATGAGAAACATATTTGTTTTAAGGAGTTGAGGTTTAGAAGTTGACCCTCACTCAACAAAAAGAGACAAAAACCTTCATGAGCATTCGATCGTCTGCTGATTCTCTCAAAGGTAAAAAGTGCAGCCTTACCTGTGTGTGCGCACGCCTCTCTGCCTCTACCAGAGCACCTCTTACCCAGCATGCACCGGGGCAAAAGTTGCCTCAGTCCTCATGTGATCACTCATTGATCGACGCCAGATAAACATCCACTGATTGAATCCAAAGCAAGTTATTGATTATTATTGAGTGCTGTTCAGGAGTTGGATTGTTGTTTCTGATGCATCTGTGTTATTTGTCTCTTTATTATCTGTGTCTTTATTAGCTCCACAAAGGAGGTGATGTTTCAGCTGTGCTCAATGAGACCACATTGTGTCTGTTTCCGTGTTAAGTTATTTAAGGGGATGGTGAAGATAATACAGTAAATTATCAAATATAATATATTAATGACAAATGTCTTTGTGATCCATTTTCTAAACTAAATAAAGTTACTTTACACATCAATACAGAAAAATAATATTACACAAACAAAACTATTAAAAAAAATATCTATTTCAGGAAAAATACCTTTAATAAGCCCTGAAATACATGAAGCACCAAGGACAACAACAACTGAAAACTACAGTGATTCAAAGAAAGATCATTGGAACCTTTTCTAGCAATTTGGGCTTTCATCCATCTCTGTGGAGACAAACACGGAGACAAGTCTGTAGCCAGACGTCTTCTCCGCCTCCTGGAAACAAAACCGACCAATCAGCATCAGCGTTTGAACTTTACGATCTTTTCCTAAACTTATTTTAGTCGCTGGACATAAAAAAAAGTGAGATTGTTAAACAATGAAACAATGAGCGACAAACTAAAACGTCACTGGTTTGATGTTTTATTAAAGATGTCCGTCTCGGGGTCAACGGTCATCCCTGAGCTGCACAATCACAGATTGTCCTCCAGGTCCGACTGATGGCGCTCCACCTGGAAGCAAACAGGAAGTGGCTCTTAACGAGACACCGGGTACGTCTGACAGTGCACTACAATTAGCCCTCGTTAACACGCACACGCACACACACACACAAACACACCTGCACACACACACACCTGCACACACTTGCACACATTGGACATCATCACGTTTCCGCCTCAAGAAACCGCATGAGAAAAGAAAAGAAACCAAATGAGCCGCACCGCATGAGTTATTTATGTCTGGGCAGTAGTGTATATATTTACCCGGTGGGAGTATCTGTGGGGGCAGTAGTGCATATATTTACCCGGTGGGAGTATCTGTGGGGGCAGTAGAGCTGATAGGGCAGCAGCTCGTCCCCGCTGGCCTCTCCTGGTTCCGGACTCTCTCTCTCCAGACTGCTGACTGAACCTCGATGAGGAGAAAACGACACACTGGGCTCCCTGACCTGAGGACACTCTAACACACACATACATACACACACACACACACACACACACACCTGTCAATCAGAGTGTAGCCCTGGAATGGACCATCATTTACTAAATGAACATAATCTCTATTGAAGAAGACTGAGACCATAAACTCATGTTTACAATGTTTACTGAGGGATTAAATCAAGAGAGAAGTAGAGTCATTTCCTCATAGACGTCTATGGGACCAGAGGAGTCGCCCCCTGCTGGTCACTACAGAGAATGCAGCAACCCATGAAGCTCTGTCTTATTCGGTGGGACAGCTTGTTGCCCACGGTTACCTGAGCTGTCCTTCCTCTGTCTGTCCATCTTGTCCACGCAGTCCAACAGACCATCGATCTGGACCTTAATCTCCATCAGCTCCTTCTTTATGCAGAGGACCTCCGCCATCTTTACTGAAGTCAGAGAGAGAGAGAGAGAGAGAGAGAAAGAGCGAGACAGGGACAGAAACAGGGAGAGTGACAGAAAGAGAGAGAGAGAAAGGTAATTGGGGACAGCTGGGAACGCTATGACGTCACAGCTTGTGGACCCTCTTTTGCTCTCAGAACCTTTTCAATGGTTTAATCAGTTTATGTATCTCAGCTCATAAATACTTCTTACTGACAAAATTCTGAATCCACTAAATTAGTCTGTTCCCTTAAAGCCCCGCCCACCTGTACACCTGTAACTCTACACAGGGAGCTTTGACACCCGGGAATCAAACCCTCTGCCATCCCGCTCAGGACGTTTCCTTTAGAGTTCGGGTCGGTTTGGTTTTTAACCTGTCGGGTACGTCTCCACCCCCTCTCCTCCCCCCCTCAGCGACCTCCCCCCACACTACTTCCCCCCAGGAGTCATGCTGCGGGGGCGGATCTGTCCGTGGTGATGTGTTGAAGTAGAAACAATTCTCACTCGCCACGCGTCATAAACCCCGCCGACAGGCCTGGCTGAGTTACAGCGGGGGAAGCTTTTAATCAAGAGACCATCTGGCGCCCCCCCCCACTTTGTTGCCGCCTTCTCCGCAGCACCCTGGGGGCCCCCCCACCGAGGCGAGGAGACACCGCGAGCAGGGTCCTTAGAAGGATGCTCGGAGCTCGGGTAGAGATGTTAGAAAAAGATTCCTCTCCTGGCTTTGACAATGGAAAAGTGGAAAAGGTTCAGAGGGTGGAGGCCTTTAACACGCGAGGGCGTGGCCTTCCGCTGGTTAAAAGCCTTTAAACCACTCGACTGCGGCTATAAGGACATGGATCTGTTTGGTGCAATGAGCTGGTGGATCTCAGTGGATGGATGCAGCTCATAAATACTTCTCGCTGAGGATTATACTCGATCAATACTCCTATTGGTTCTTTTTTGATCACATTGTGAGATATTTAAAACAGAAAAGAATCAACGGTGCTTCTTTATTCTTGCCCGATGCCCCCCCCCCCATGGGTGCGCTAACGCTACCGGCAGCGGCCATTATATTCAAGAGCTTTGAATTTTCTATTTGGTTTTGTAGTTTAGCTTCAATTATCTTTGCTACAAGAAAAGTGGTGGAGTGCAGCGTCACTCCCTCACATGCAGAGGTGGAGGAGGCGGGCATCTGGCCGCTTCTGCTGGCAGCTCGTGGGCTCCTCTTCCTCAGAGCTCCTGTGGAGGAGGAGCAGGAGGAGGGGTGAGGCCGTCTGATAGGACCAGGATCCACCTGGACCGAGGAGGGCCCCCGCTGGTAACCCAAAACCCTGCAACACAGAGCAGACTCCCAGAATGCAACATACAGCAGACTCCCTTGATGCATCACGGAACAGACTCCCAGAATGCAACACAACCTAATTGAAAATGAAAGCTCTATTTCGTAACGAGACGTCAAGTGAAAGTGAACTGGAGTTAAATCTGCAGCCCCCTCAAAACTTGCCCCCACACTCACCCTCGCTCATACTCCCTCTTCATAACCCCCCCTCTCAGAGCATGTTGTGCTGCAGGTGAGCTCGTACCAACGCCGCCAATTTGATGCAGAGAGCAATAGAGGAAGAGACCTTTCTCTGCCTCTGTTCATTATGTCTGACACCCTTTGATCCCAGAATGCACTGCTCCAGAGTACAAACATGCCACTGTCAAAATACTCAAAGTAGAGAAGTTGAGTCATCTTCTCATACACAGGACCTGCTGGTCACTACAGAGAATGCAGCTTTAACACATGAAGCTGTGATTTGTCATTATCGACAAGCGGGAATCACGATGCAAAATAGTAACAAAATGTGATCTATTTGTTGTTTGGTTCGTTTTTAGACCTAACTGCTGTTTTAGTTTTTTTTTAAACTATTTTGGTTTAGTTGTTTAAACTGTTTTATAAAACCCATCCACTATGTTTTTCCAGAACGGAGGGGCTTCTCAATGATGGTCAACACATTTCATTAATACTTGAAGCTCTGCGTAGCTCCGTATTTATTTTCGACACCAGAGCTAATTTAATTGTTTAACGAGTTTACTTCTCTGCACTCATTCAGCACCTTCTCCCAAGGTCATAATCTAACAAAATAAATAGTTTGTTGTGTTGTTTCATTTGTTGGTATATATTTATTTAATTACATACATTATACAATATTACAGAAGCATGCTTAATGAAAAAAAAAACATTTTGAGTAATTGGGACAGATTTTACTGATTGTGCGCAAAATTCTAGCGCGCACAATCACACACGTCCCTTTTATCTCTCTCTTCACCTTTAGTTGATCTCCATCCATCTCAATATTCCTGCTCTGCCTCAATGGATTCTAGAGAGGGTTTTTGTAACCTCCCCCCATCCTGTCTCTGCTTGTTGAGTGCAGTTTTTCCTAACGGCTGTATTTTGTGCATGATGATGGCGGGTGGATGGTGGGCCGATGGGGGGCCGGGAGCTGCACTCGTCCTCACAACTGCTACCGGCTGAAAGCACAACACAGCAATGTCGAACTGGAAATCACTCACAGCTTTGTTCTTGTAGGGTATCAAAAACTGATAATCCACGTTGCATGAATTATGTAATCAATAAAGAAATCGCTGAAAACGCTGTAATTCCAGTGTACAACTGTAATTTTAATTATTAGTGTTAACAATGCATGAATATAATTGTATTAAATGTAATGTGATCAGCAAATGCATGCATGTAATACGTAATATAACTATCTACATTGACCGAGAGACATTCAAAATCCAAGTTACATTGAACGCAGCATTAGTGTAACACCTCATTGCACCACTTTATCTATGGAAAACTCTAAATAACTAAGTTTACATTCAGCCATCACCATCCATTTATTCTGATTAGGGCCCCCCCCTCACCGGCCCGCTACAATCAGCGGCGGCGGTTAATGGGCCGCACACAAGGCGCCACGAGCCCCGCTGGGCTCGGATCGAGGGAGCGGGTCCGGAGGTGAGGAGGTGAGGAGATGAGGAAGTGAAAAGGTGAGATGATGAGGTTGTGAGGAGGTGAAGTGGTGAGCAGGTGAGGTGGTGACCTCAGGCGGCCCACAGAGGAACTTATGTCCGTCACAGCAAAAGCCGGTTTGCGCCTCGTAGAAGGATCCCCGTCGTGGACGCAGTCGTCCTGACGTCACATATTGGTTTGTGGACAGATGTTATAAAGCCGCAAGTTTGGCTTTTTTTGACGCCACCATCTTAGTTTTTACAACCAGTGACAGGACAGGAAGTGACCATACTTGGACCGAGGAGGACTCTGGTAGAGACCTGTCAATCAGCGTGTAGCCCCGCCCTAAAGCATCACTTGCTTCTTCCATTTAGAGTCAAACAGAGTCTGTTTGACTCTAAATGGACCATAATTTACTAAATGAACATCATACTGTATTGAAAAAGACTTGGAACTAGAGTTTGAGAAAATAAACTAATGTTTACAATGTTTACTGAGGTAACAAATCAAGAGAGAAGTAGAGTAATTTCCTCATACGGGACCAGAGGAGTCGCCCCCTGCTGGTCAGGAGAATCTATTATTTTACTTGGCCCATAATGATCTCAGAGTGCGTCTCACCAAATGTTACTCAATGCTTTGTGCGAATGCATAT